CCAGGTTCATGTCTGCTCCGCTGTCCAGCAAGAACTGCACCAGGCGGATGTGGCCGTGAAAACAGGCACTGTGTAGAGCTACATACAGTTGTCAGGGACATTAATTAGAGATACAACCGGTCCTGCTCTTAACCTAACTGTGACTAGTGGAGTCTTAAAAGAAGAGTCACCTGTGTGTCCATCTCTGCCCTGATTGTTGATGCTCATAGCATTCTGGCTCAACAGGAACTTGACCATATCCAGGTCTTTACCATAGGTGCATGCACTGTGACACAAGACAGGTACTCATTTTCGCCTCAGAGCTACATGAATCACAGGTTAAAGGTCCAGTGTGTAAGATTTAGGGGGATTAGGTGGTATCTAGCAGTGAGAATTGCAGATTGCAACCAGCTGAAACTTCTCCAGGTTAGAATTCCTTCAGTGTTCATTGTACAGAAGGTTTTTTTAAATCCCCCTAAATCCTTCACACTGGACCTCAAAGCGATGCTCATAAATCAAACATGCATTCATACTATATGTGTGTGTGTGTCAGCGTTTCTGTTTTTCAGACTATGAATAAATACAGCGCACGAGACAATACCTGTGAAGTGCCGTCTCGCTGAATATGTTCTCCTTGGATAGACTGTCTGTGCCTGCAAGCTGTACAATCGCCTTCGCTGCCTCAAATTTTCCATTATAGCAGGCCCTGATGAGACACAGCATTCAATACGGCACTTTATCTCCACTTGATGTCGTCTACCACAAAACATAAGATACTGATACTGTGAAGCATTTACAAGTGTAACGGTGTGTCTCCGTAGATGTTGACAGAGTGAGGCTGTACGTCAAAGTTGCCCTGCAGGAGGTAGCGCACGATCTCATGGTGACCAAAGCGGGCGCAGAAGTGGAGAGGAACGTGATCTTCATTGTCCTGAGCGTTTACTAAAGAGAAGAGCAGATAGATAAGCAATCATTTCCACACTTAAAGGGACAGTTCACCCCAAAATCAATAACCCATGTTTTTCCGCTTACCTGTAGTGCTATTTATCAATCTAGATCTAGGTGTCAAACTCATTTTAGTTCACAGGCTGCATACAGTCTGATTTGATCACAGGGTGGGGTGAGAGGCTGTCAGCAAATAGTTTTTTGGGCACAGGGAAACAAAGATCTGTGTGGGTACATGAGACCCTAAAGAGGGTGGATCATGGGGAGTACCACCAGTTGGTCCAGGAGCTTCCCCACGATGATGGCATATTTTAGGATGACTCAGGGGCAGTTTGACAACCTGCTGTCTTTTGTTGGGCTGTATAGCTCTGGGTATCCAGCACCCGCTACCACCAGTTTCTCCTCCATTGTTTACCAACCGTAAACTAGTTGTTGTGACCACCACAGAGGGCCACCTCTCAAATCATCTCATTGGACAAGGGAAAAAAAGAGATGACATTGGGTGTCTTTCCGCTTTGGTTTGAGGTTTTTTCAACTTGAGGAATCCAGAGCGCCAAAACCGCAAAAACCATGCGAGCAAAGGCTTCATTTCTGCCCTCTCTCAAATACAATTGAACTAGATGGCACTCAGCTTGTGGTGCTCAAAGTGCCAAGGAAATACATTTGAAAAACTCAACAGCAGTGTCTCTTTCCAGAGGGAGAAGGCAGACATCTCTTCGGCTGTTATCTCCAACACTCGGCAACTCACACAAAAACAAGCTAGCCTGATAAATAGCACTACAGGTAAGAGGAAAAATATGTATTTTTGATTTTGGGGTGAACTGTGCCTTTATCTAAATGTAGGAAAGCAGTCTTGGAAGCTTGGGTTTCACCGTTAGCTTTGGTCCCTTCCCCCATCAGCAGTTTGATGAAGCTGAGGAAACCCTTGGCTGCAGCCAGGTGCAGTGGCCGGTCACCTACCTCACCACTCACATTCACATCTGCCCCGTACTTCAGCAGCAGCTTTGCCACCTGAAAGCAGAGAGAGATGAAACACACTGAGAGAAGTGTTTTTATTTTCTTCTCTCAGTAACAAGGTAGTCAACATCACTTTTACCTGCTCGTGGTTGTTATAGGAAGCAATATGCAGAGGGGTGAAAAACACAGCATCCTGAATATTCACGTTAGCTCCATGCTGCAGGAGTATATCAGCTGCCTGGTGGGGGGAAAAATATCAGAATATCAATCAAGTCCACAGCTGTTAGTTAATAATTTCCTTACTGTAATTAAAGACAAAAAAAGCTCAGCTCTCACCTCAGGGTGCCCGGCCAGTGTGGCAACATGCAGGGCAGTGAGGGCACCGTAGCCCACCTGCTGCACGTCTGACCCTCCGTGGAGAAGTGCAGTCAGCAGCTCAGCATTATCCTGTGGTGCAGGGGATTCACAAGGTAGAATATAAATTGATTAAAGCCAGCTCCACCTTTACTTACTGCAACAATTAAGTGATGTACACTGAAATGCATCAATAATAACAATGTAGTAATATATATTACTCTGAAATAGGGCTTTCTGCATAATTGTTGTACTCTGGTAAGTCTTTGAATGCATGACTTTTACTTGTAACAGACTATTTCTATACTGTGATATTCCTACTTTTATTTAAGTAAAAGATCTGAGTACTTCTTCCCACACTGGTGCTTGCACTCCACCATGTGGTAGGAAGGTTCTTCACCACATAACACAAGCAATACAAAGATTGGACCTTGAAATATATTCTGAAAATATTCAAATTCTGTTTTTATTTCTTTAATTCTTTTCACCTTGTAAGCAGCCAGGTGCAGCGCAGTGAATCCGTTCCTGGAGAGTCTGGAGGGTCGCAGGCCTTTAGCCATCAGGGTACGAATATGGTCTTTGTTACCTGGTCACAAATATATAATATTATGTGCTGGTAAAATATCATGTTTATTGTAAAGGACACTCATCTTCACAATTGTTTCTCCATTTAAACTGTTTGCATTTAATCCTTATATACAATCTACTGTTTGTTTGCATGTGACCGGCCCCAGAGAGGTCATCTTCACACAATAATAATGTCAGTCGGTTTGTTGTAATCCTTCCTTCTACTGCCACATTTTGATGAGGAGTTATTAATAGCCTCTAGTAGTCATGCATACCTCCACATACGCAGCAGAGATGCAGCAGCGACAGCCCCTTCTCTGTTCGGTAGCTCAAGTTCACCTTCTGAAAAGCTTCATCAGAGCTGAGCCACAGAAAAACCAACATCACCTGCTCGTGAGAAATGACACCCGACTGACACAGTAATGTAAGGCGACTGAGGAGAACACAGGCGCAAAAAACACTACATGGTAAATTAAATACAGCGTCTGGGTTCAAGTTTTAAAAGCAAAATGTTTTTGTCACCTGAAAGCCAGCTGGAGGTCTGAGATCTCACTTTCTTTGAGCTGGAAGTCATCGTCCAACTTCTCTATGATCACAGAGTACGACTCACCCACCTTCTTCTTCCACTCATCTTCACAGCCCCATCATCATAAACACAACAATTTAATAATATAATTCCCTTTGCTTATTATTGCCCACATGTAGAAATATGCTAAATAAACTTGCACAAATCTCATCCAAAAAACTGTAATTGGCTCTGTATATATTTGTCAGTTAAAAAAAGGCTTGTCCAACTTGTCATTGTTTGTGACAGAGAGTGATGCAGCCAACAGTAAACACCCAGCCCTCCAGGCTTCCCTGCTTCAATCCAAACTTTGCTCTCAGTCCTGCAGAAACCTTAAATGAATATCATTCCCACACAATCACAAACACACCGAGCCATTACCTGTGCACGTCTGAGACGGTCTTGATTTGTAATTTCCCATTGATAAGGTCTCTTCTGTCTTGGTAATATGCGCTGTGTGGTTTGGTGAAGCAGTAATACAATCTCCCACACACACTGACAATTGCACAGGTCCAGATAAAGGGGGGATCATGGCTGTGGGCTAAAAATAAACACCTTTGAGTGGAATGCTTAACAACTACGACAACTGATCTCCCTCCAAATGCAAGCAGACGTGTTTCAGTGTGTGTGTGTGTGTGTGTGTGTGTGTGGTATAGATTTCTATATATATTCTATTTCTGTAATTCAGTATATGTTTCTATCATGCCTGCCATTTTTCACAGCGAACATGTTGGCTTGTCACTGCAGGAGGAGCACAGGGAGAAGCACAGTAAGACCATTAACTCCAATCCATTAACTCCAATCCAATCACTGTAATGTGGCGATGAATAATGTTATTGGTTGGTTACATCTGACCAAAATGTCTGCTGTGAAAAAGGCCTATTAAGATACTCAAAAGTGCCTTTTGTCTCACACTGTAATAACACAATGGACACGTCTATGTAGAGCAGTGCTGTAAAAAGACACCAAAATGTTTTATTTACAATTAAAAAACTTACAGAACTTTTAAAAAAATCAAGGATGAGCTTAATGAAACGTTATACCACAATAAATCAAATGACAAAAACTCATAGTCCTGATCATGGACCTTCTGGGCACAGGCCCAGGGGCCTAAAGTGTAAGGGGAGCCCCCTCGTCCTCAACTGCAATATGTCACTCAAATTGCCATGTACTGACCAGGAATAGCTGAAGTGAGTAGCCAACAACCTGTTTTATATATCCAAAGAACAATAAAGATGAACTAGCTGGCGATCAAGGCAGCACGGTGGAGCAGTGGTTAGCTTCACCAGCCTCACAGCTTGTCGCCTCACAGCATGAGGTTTTCTGGTATGTAATTTGCATGTTCCCCCCGTGTCAGCGTGGGTTTTCTCCAGGTACTCCAGCTTCCTCCGCAGTCCAAAGACATGCAGGTTAATTGGTGACTCTAAATTGCCCGTAGGTGTGAGTGTGAATGGTTGTCTGTCTCTATGTGTCAGCCCTGTGATAGTCTGGTGACCTGTCCAGGGTGTATCCTGCCTCTCGCCCAATGTGATAGGCTCCAGCCCCCCCGCGACCCCTAACAGGATAAGCGGTTACAGAAAATGAATGAATGCTTGGCAACCAGATCAGATGTCTAATTGAGACAGGCCTTTATTTGTCAAAATGTGTAGCACCAGGCTAGTAAAAGTTTTACAGTAACTACAAAAGGGGCAAAAAAACAAAATGACAATAAAGAGACAAAGCCACAAAGATACTTTACAACTACAAAGACATGCGAAACAATTACACAAAATGAGGTCTTTGCATCTTGCCCCTATGAAGGCAGGGGCTTTTGCATATCTGTGCCAAGGCACCCATTGTCTGACAATCCGCCCCTGGTCCTGACATTATTTGATCTTTGAATGATCACACATCAATTATTCAAGGCAAAATCAATGTTATCTCGTACTTAAGGTGACACATAATCTCAGTTGTTGGGTCTCTTCTGTGTGATGTCTTCATATAGTCCCTTCCTGAACTTCAACATCTCCTCCAGGTTCTTACACTGTAGGGCCTCTTGCATAGACATCAGCTTTGTGTCTTTGGGTAAAGTGAATGTAGAGCCACTCAGTGCAGCCTGCAGCATCTCCAGAGACATGGAGAATGAGCTTTGTAGATCTGAGCAAACAGGAAACAAACAAGCGTTCCACAAACTACAGCTGGACGCATCACCGGAGAACCTCAGGACTTCATTTTTCAGCCCCCAGTGGGACAGACACACAGCCAGGCTCAAACCAAAAAGCATCAGCTCTTCCATGTATGCAGGGGATTCAACGCTGCGCTTTAAGTTGTCATTGATCCCAAAAACAACCGTTACAAACCTGGTTTGGTGTTTGTGATTCACACACAGTGAATGCATGAAGACTCCATCAGGCACCGAGAGGCCTGCACTGACCCAGCAGCTGCTGACGATGGAGCCACAACCTACAGAAGCTCCTGCTCCCAGTCTAGAGTACTCCACCACTGATCCAGCTCCCACAGAGCAACTAGGATTGAGGACACTGTACATGACACAGCATCCTAAGGAGTTTTCATTCATGTGGATGCTGAAGGCAGATGACAGGAGGCCAAGCTCACTCCTCAGCGTCACGTCCTCAGTGAGGTGAAAGAGGTACTCTGACGTGGTGCCAATGTGATAAAACTTAGAGTTGTTCAGGAGAATAACATTCAAAAGAGTCCCTTTTAGGTGATGGAAGATCTTTTGGCGGATTTCCACCAGATTGCTCTCCTCTTTGGTAACATTCGCAGTGTTGCTGGTGTAATCGATCGTAGCTTTAGGGCCCAGTGCCTGAAGGAAGTCCCCGTATGCGTCTACCTCGCAGTCCAAAGGCCCCAACTCCTTCAGCAGTTTAAGAAGAGACTTTGCAGTATCAAAGTCGATATAATAGGTGCTGTCCGTGTAGACGAACTCAGTGTCAGAAAGAGAAAAACAACCACTCTGCCTTTTACACACAGCTCCTCTGCCCCACATCTCACTGATGCTCGGCTTGTGCAGGAAGCGTAGGCAGGAAGTGTTCTCCATTTCAGAAAAGGGAGACTTTTCTTTTGAATCCAACACAAACACTCCGTGGGTCGTTCCAATAGACAGCGGGGAGGGGTGGGCTAAAGCTGTGAAGCCAGGTTTGTCAAACGTAACACTCTCATGCTCTGCAGTACTGTAGAGCTCTATGTCGTCTGCACAGGTCACCAGTACGCCAGGCTTCATCTGTGATGGGAAATCCACGTACAAGGCCAGTTTGAGCTCCAGCATCTGGTAGAGAGGGTCGCCCAGCGGCACGGCGGTGAAGATCTTCCCCAGGGCGCTGGCGCTGGGCAGACGCTGACTCAAGCCTCCTGGATGGATGAGAAGTGGGAAACATCACACAACACACGCAGAATCTAAAATGTCTGAACATATGCAATCCATCCTTTAAAGGTCCAGTGTGTAGGATTTAGGGGGATATGTTGGTGGAAATGCAATAAAAATGAATAAGTATTCAGCAAGTAATAAGTAAGTATGTTTTCTTTAGGGTATAATAACCTGAAAATTGTGTTTTCTTTTCCTCACAATGAGCCATTTATATCTACATATGGAGCAGATCTTCGTCCATGCAGTCTGCCATGTTGCACTGCCATGTTCTACAGTAGCCCAGAACGGACAAACAAAACACTTTTTGATGTATGAGTCTTTTTTTGTGATTTTTCTTTTTTGTTTTAAATTATGTAATAATGACCCCCTGCTGTAAGAGGAAGTGAAGGGACATAGTTTACTTGAGTAAGCTTGTAGGGAGTATGGGGTGACTCTGCAGGGATGAAGTTTAAAGGGCAGGTCATGACATCATGGGACCAAGGGAGTGATACTGTCTGGTGTCTGACTTTTGCAATTGGCTTTAAGAAATCATGGGCGTTAACAGCTTTAAATTTTTCTCATTTTATAGAGCAGTACTTTAATAGTACAACATATACACGTGACTCATCCATATTTTTCTGCAGTCCCTTATCTGTACTGAAGTGAGATGGAGGTCATCATAACATGTACCTGTAGAGCTGAAATAATTACATAAATTCACAGAGCATAGTTTTTGATTAATCAATTTATCATTTCAGCTATTTTTCAGGCAAAGTTCTGGCCTTTATTATTGTAAATTCAATCTCTTAAAAAAATGAGAAATACTTTATTGATCCCCAGGAGGGAACTGTGAGTCTCTCCAATATATACAGTAGCATACAGAATTCTGAGTAGGAATAAGAAACATGAAAATAAGAAGCATTTAAAAATACAAAAAAAATATGTGTGAATTAAACAGTAGTATGTAAAGTATTTAAAAATGTATAAAAAAAACGTGCATTACGCTAAGTGTGTAAAGTAGGGTTGCAACAGTATGAGGTTTTTTCGGTACAAGAACCGTCTCGTGGTATTACAGAAATTATATTATAGAGGGGTTATTTTTGCTTAAGCAAACGTTTTATTACTATAATTGAAACTTGAAATCATTTACTAATGGAAATATGTGTAAAATGTCTCCCCTTTGAAAATAACTAAAATAAAGAGGAGAACATTGTAGATGAGCAAATCTACACGATAAGATAACTGTCAACTTCTATATCCCGGTATAACTTGAAACCAGTATACTGCTGCAACACTAATGTTATGTAAAAATATAAAAATATGTGCGGTATGCTACAATGTTTATCCCTGGTGTGTAAAGTAGGTAAAAATATAAAAATATGTGCATTATACTAAGTGTGTAAAGATTTTCACATGACAATAACTGTAAAAATATGTACACTATGCTGGGTGTGTAAAGTCTGTAAAAATATAAAAATATGTGCACGATGCTTGGTGTTTAAAGTATGTAAAATATAAATACATGTGTGGTATGCCAAGTGTGTGTGTGTGCGTGTGTGTGTGTGTGTGTGTGGGGGGGGGGGGGGGGGGGGGGGGGGGGGGGGGGGGGGGGGGGGGGGGGGGGGGGGGGGGGGGGGGGGGGGGGGGGGTGACAGTGAACAGTCACGCTCTGGAAAATTGTAATGGGCATTTTTAAAAGAAAATATTTTCTGACATTCTATAGAGCAAACAGTTAATCGATTAATCAAGAGAGTATTTGGCAAATTAATTAACAATGAAAGTAATTACAACTCTCCAGCGTTTGTTGGGCGAAAAGCGGTGGAACACATTATTTTCTTGTATTTTATTTAAAAACAATAACAACAGGCCACAGAAGTGATGTCAAACCTGCATGGATGAGGATGACTCTCAGCCTGCTCAGAGTCTTCTCATAGATGTCACTCAGCTGCTGCAGCGCGTGCAGAGTGGAGCCACCGTTCCCTTGTAAACACACAGTCATATTAGTAATAATAATAATAATGCCTTGCCTTGTTGATCCCCCTCAACAGCAAACAGAGGGCAGTGAAATGAAACTGGAGAGTGCATGCTGTCTGACTCACTCACCTATTTTAGATCCGGGCGGATCTGAGAAGACCTTGTAGTGAACTCCAAGGGGAAGCTCCTTCCGGTCAACTTTGCCTCTGATCTGCAGCTCATACGCTTCTTTCTGACTCACATCCACCGCGGTCACAACCACCACGTCCCAAAACTCACCGGGCTGCACCTCTCGAGCTTCAGGTAAAGAAACAGCAGCAGGTTATGACACTTCAGATGAAGGATAAGAAGCAGGCTGCACACAGGAGAAGGAAACATGAGTTCAGATATAAAACTCACCGCGCAGGGAGTTAAATCTTCTCAGCTTTTCTCTCGTTGCAGTTTGTAGCTTTATCATATATTCCTGACTCATACTGTCGATTAAATATGCTCACTATACAAGTTAGAAGCTGCAAACCCTACTCTTTCAAACCGTCTCTCACTTCCGGGTTCCGTCACGTGATTAGTTGTGTTTAAAACGTAGGCGGGGAGTGACAGGAGCACGTGGTGGGGGTTGAACTGCAGAGCCAGGTTTTAGAATGATGAACAATAATTAACGTTTTAAAGCATTTTAATAGAAACATTATGATATTATATCAGTTTAATTAAAACTAAATTGGGCTTAATCATCCCAAAAGTCTTTTACAGTGTCATATTCTTTAAAAGGATGAGTAGTTTCCCTTTTAAAAATACATAATCTTAACATCATTTAAGTAATTTGGCCACAGAAGTTGTAAGAATATATGCTGTTAATAATCTTGAGGTGGACTCTTTTCATCCTGTAATAGTGAATCAGTGGAGCTTTCTTCCAATTCACAAAAAGGAAATAAATATTTTTTCTGTAGGAAAGAATCTGTTTTGAGAGTTACTTTATTATTTAATTCCACCTATTTTTTTTATTTATGTTTTTCTGTAATTTAATGTTTAATTTAATTTAATTATGTTTTTGTTTTTATTTTATTTATTATTATATTTATTTATTTTTTATTTTTATCTTTTTTTTTTTTTNTCTCTGGCTTCAGATCTCTGCAACAAACAAGAACAAACAAACTGTCATAACAGAAAGTAAAAATAGATTGCTTATGAATTTACTGTTTTGTTTTGTTTTATAGTAAAAACCCAGAGTCTCTACACTCTGGATGTAATAGATAGTGATTAGGTTTTAAGTTTATTTCCTTTATTAATCCCCCTGAGGATAAATTCAATGTTTTCACTCTTGCTTGTCATTAACACACAGGTCCGAAAGACACACACATGCACAAACAGGACCTATACATGCACAAAGTGGAGAGATGTCAGAGTGAGGGGGCTGCCCTTGGTGAGGCGCCCCGAGCGGTTGGGGGTTTGGTGCCTTGCTCAAGGGCACCTCAGCAGTGCCCAGGAGGTGAACTGGCACCTCTCCAGCCACCAGTCCACACATTCATATTAATATTGAAATAGACTTCTGGTGCAAATCTGTACTGAAATTATGTTATAGTGTTTCGTCTGTATTATTGTGCCATGTGTTCCATAAAGAAAAAAAAATCACTTGACCTAAAAAATAAGATAAGAAACTAAACCACCAAAGCAAAATTCCTACTCCATTTTCTTTTCATTTTCTTTGTTAATTTAATGGTGCAGTATTGATATTGTAAATGTAATCTTTTCAAGTGATGAAAGGGATCTCTCCACGCTGTCAGGATATATAAATATTCTAGTGTTATTTTTACCTGCTCAGGTTGAAATTGTGCAGTTCTGTAATTTTGTTTACCAGCATGAAATACGGCCATTTACATTCAATGTATGCTGAGAATTTGCTGCATTAAAACAGAACAAAACACTAAACAAAACAAAAACAAAACACAGAGGGCAGCCCAAGATTACCTTCTTTGTTAATCAGTCTGTTGATATGCTTCCTGAGGATTACTCAGCCGATCAATCCACTAAATGTCAGAAAATACCAAAAAATATTAAATCTCGGCCACTATCACAGAAGACTGAGCAACCAGAAAATATTCAGATTCCAGAAATCAGGACTACAGAGTACACAGTAGTACTCAAACTGTCCAGTTGGTCAACAAAACGGTTAACAGCCGCAGTTCTGTAATTTAAAATAGATTTAATTCTGTTTATTATGTGCTTTTCCCCCTTATCTTTAACCTAGTCTAATTTAGACACATTGAGTCTAAACAGCCTTTAAAACCCATTAAGTCTTAGTTGTGTTTAATTGTTGAATGTAAACTCCTCCTTGTGTCCTTTAACCCCTCAAATTACCAGGCACAATAAGAATGACACGATTTTAATGTAATATATTTTTCTGAACTTGGCCAGTTGCCTGCTGTATACATCAACTAATCCACTGATGACAAATGCAATTATTAGGGAGTGCACTTTCTTATGATACAAAGTAAGTATTACTTTTAAGAAGGTGAATTTGTCATTGCCACTATGTCATTATGGCAACAGATGCTCTGACACAACCTGAGGCTTGGCATTTGCATATTGTTATAAAATGTATTCTCTTTGACATGAGCCACACTCCAGGTGTTGTGTTGTAAGAAAAGCAGGTGCCAGGGGTCCTAAATCTCCAGGACAACAACATGTGGGACTGGTTGTCTGTCAAAAACCCTCTGACATCCCTGTGTTACTAAAAAGGAAAGCGAGACACTGATATAATTACACACAATCAGACAAGAAGTCAGACAATACAGCAATTTAGGATATATTTAACTTTTGAACGTATATTATATTTAATTACCACCCAATTTAATTTAATTTATGTTCATGTGAGCAAAGTCCTGTCCAGCACCTAGTGTTCAGTGTCTGGATGTGCGTGCTTCTGTATACCTTTCTTGTATAACTAGTAACATGCAATATAACATGCAACATACTCTGTAATCAGCTGTGGGTTTTAACAAGCATGAGCAAAATATATTAAAATAGATTTTAAAAAAGGATGTAAAAAACAATCCACCAATACTTGCCTTCAGTATTTGGTTTTCATATGTATTTATGTCTTCTTTTGTTGAATACTTTTTTGTAACAGGTCATATAATTCTGGTGCACTGAGAGCAAACCTTCAACCACGTTATCCTGGCGCTGTTGGCAAGGCCTGCCTCCCAGGTGACAGCCGACATGTTGCAGGCAAACATGAGCAAAAGGACTTAGTAAACCAGTCTATGGAGCTAAAGCATCATGAGCGACAGGGAGGAAGCACTGTGGTAGAGGCAGACGGAGCACGCTCAGATGGAGGCTGCTCTGAAAGTGTTAAGAGCCAGCAGGGATGAGCAGGTGCATTTCTGAAACAAAGGACAAGGAGGACGGCTTGGGAGTGGGCACTGACGACGGCCCTCAGGGGGGGCAGCTTGCCTCACTGACCGAGGCCTTTCACAAGAATAGCACACATCCGATCAGACACTGTTCAGTGACCTGCAGAGAGGTGTGAACTGGCTGCGAGCTTCAAGCTGCAGGCTGACACACAAAGTACTAATCCAGGGACACTTTGGACTGATTCATTTCCCAGCATTACTGACCTGCTCAACAGTATTTCATCATTTTACCAGAAATTTCACAGTGCACTGACATAAAACGTTTCATTACAGATGCATTTGCTTGTGCTTGTACTCTTCCCTGTTTTGCAGTCGGGGAAGTAGTCTGATCATAACAGGATGATCATGGAACAAACACAATACCTGGAAAGCAAGCAGAGCCATGGACTCCTTTAAACCCCAGTCAGAGGCAGTCAGCAAAGGCTTTCTGTTTCATTTAGACTCCACTGAGCTCCTCCGCCAGTCTGTGCACCTATTACCACACAAAAATCCCAAGTTACAGTGGGATACAGCTGCAAGCTGTTTTTCTTTCTTTTTTTCTTCATAAAAAATGGTTAAGGAATGGCAGGAATGCAGGGTGAGCGAGTTGAACACCAACACAACAGCTTGTATGAGCATAATCCACTTTTCTATTGTGTTTATTGTTTCAGTTAAAATCAAGACAGCTTGACATGTGAGATTCTTGGCCATAAAATGTCAACATATCATACAATCAGTGCAAGTGCAAGAGTTGTCCTCTAAAACTATACATTGTCAAAATAAAACAGCATCATTACACACTAAATGTACATCTTGGCGTACTCATATTTAAAGTCTTAATCAAATAGATTAATACTTCATTTAGGAGGTAGAAAACAAACTATAACAAAAGAAGCTGATTGAAACGTCTCAGCTTAGACTAAAAAACTGGCAGTACCATTAAAAACATGGCTGTCTCAAGTAACAGATTGCTGAGATTCTGTTCAATACACAAAAAAAGTTTTATTGATCTGTAAGTTTGTAAAGCTCAGAAACTCTGTCCAAATATATTAGCTCTAATAAAATTTAAAAAGGATTAAAATCTCAGAGATTCAGAGACATTGTGCACACTTGCTTCATACCTATTAATCTTGCTGTAACAAGAGCACAGCACCTCCACAGCAGAGGTGAAATGGGATGAAGACAGTGAGATGATCCTGCTCCTTCCCACTGCTCCCCTCGTAGGGAATCCATGTTGTGTCACAGCACAGACGGCGGCAGAGCAGCCAGGCTGTGCTTGTTGGCCTCCAGGAAGTGACTGCAGGCGGAAAAGGTGCTGGAAAAGCTGGAGGAGAGGCCAGCGATGTCTGTGGAGATGTAGGGGAGGACGCCCGGTGTGGCCTGGTTATAGTAGGTGATCTGAAACAAAACACATCGGGTCACATGTGGTGCAGTAAACCACTGTATCTTGGATTCACTTGCAGTTATGAGTGGTTAGTGGATGCAGTAATGTGCTCATAGCCAGCGTGGCGTGCTGAACTGCGTGCCCTTCTCATTTGGCCAACCTTGGTGACAGTGCTGGACTCTTCCCAGATTGTGAAGCCAGCGCAGAGCACCTCTCCCCTGGTGTAGTCCTCAGTGGGAGGGTGAGTAGGCAAAGTGACAGAGCGCAGAGCGATCAGATATGGGTCCCTGAGAGGGACAAAGAAGGATACCATCATGAGACTTTATGAGAGAGCAAGCGGCAGGCAGTAATGCAATAACTGGGTGCATATAAAATATAGGATGAAAAAGGAAATCAAAATGAAATGACATGAGCAGGGTAAGTGTTTATTATGAGGTATGTTACAACACCTGGCATCACATGGCTTCCTCCTGGATGCCAGCAAGATAAAGTCCTGGCCTTTGCCCCCTTTGCTGACAGACGGTGTGGCGATCCAATAAAGGGTGTCTTCTTCATCCGCTTGGTTGATCATCTCGCAGTCCCTGCAGTGGCCACAAAGTAATGAGCATTTGATGAAATGCAAGTTACGCTCACTCTGTGTTGTGATCTGAGCTGCTCTGTTTTTGCATGTGATAGTCCCTGTGTGTGTCCCACTGGCTAGCTAATCGCCACTGCTCTGCACTGTCCTCATATGGCGATTACCACTGGTAACGCAATCCCAACACACACAGTGGTAGGACAGTGCCATAGTGGAAGCTTGGCACCCTCCTTCCAGTCCCCCAATCCCAATTTCTGATTGCTGCAGTTAATGTTGTCTTTATGTCTTTATTCTGTCTATGTCCTGTGAATTTTATCATTTTATTGGTTTCAACACATCCTGCCAAAGGGCTGCAGTTGAAAATTAGCCAGCTGGCTAACACTGGCACCTTTACAGAAATGTTGATTAATGTGCATTGTCCTTATAAATAAACTAACTGAAATTAAATTTAGTTAATGTCTGTTCAAGGTGGAGCAAGGTGGATGATTCTAATATAAGGCTGAATAGTCTAATGAATAATAAGGCATCATATTTGAACTGTTATAATTTGTGAGTAAAATCTGATTCTGTAACGTTACCAGTATCACATCTTTGTCAGGTAAATGTAGTACACACACTAAGTAAGTCATGTATGTTATTTTGGGGTACATTAAGTTAGAACTGCAACATAATTCAATATTTTCAATATCTTAGAATCATGATAAATTTCTCTAATCTCTGGGGAGCTCGGAGTAGAGCCGCTGCTCCTTTGCATCAACAGGGGTCAGCTGAGGTGGTTCAGGCACCTGATTAGCATGCCTCCTGGGTGCCTCCTGTAAGAGGTGTTACGGGCACGTCCCGCTGGTAGGAGGCCCCAGGGCAGACCCAGAACAGACTGGAGGGGTTACATATCTTATCTGGCTTGGGAACACCTTGGGGTCCCCCAGGAGGAGCTGGAAAGCGTTGCTGGGGAGAGGGACGTCTGGGGTGCTTTGCTCGGCCCCCGTGACCGGCCCCAGATAAGCGGATGAAAATGGATGGATAGTAAATTTATAGCTGTTTGGGCCCCAAGTGTGTTGCTCAGGACCAAAGAAGCACAGTGTCAAGTGTGAAGTTGTTTGTATGAGCAGTTCTCGAGAGAGCTGCAAGCAGCAGTACCACGGGACTGTTCCGAATGTGCACTGTACTAGTTATGAGCAGTGAACCACACTGTTGCACTGGGTGACAACCCCCTTCATTACTATGGCAGGCACTGACAGGCAGTGTAGTTTCTTCTGAGACTACTCCACATACATGGTCCAGCTGTAAATATATATTAATTCGCAGCTGAAAATAGACCCACAGAAACACTGGCCTGCTAAATTCTACAGTGCCCTGCTGTTTTAGGAAATTACGCAACTTTTTTTTTTTTTTTAATTAAACTGTATATTTGTGACCCATTTTTAAATATTTACATCTTCCGTAGAAATCAGAGGGCCTTGATTTTAGTATTTTTAAGTGATTTGTTGACAGCAAGAAAAAGAGACAGCATTACACTAGTGATGGCATCCCTGCACTGGCTACCTACCAAATACAGGATTGATTTTAAAGTTCTTTTATTTGTTTTTAAGGCCATACAGGCTGCTAACTCAGTATAATGATGAACTTCTCTGCCCCTACTCCACCTCCCGACCTCTTAGATCCTCAGAATAATGTCTTTTAACTGTCCTGCGATCAAGGCTGGTGGGTCAGGGAGATCGTGCCTTTGTGGTAGCTGCTCCACAGCTCTGGAATAACCTTCAAACGCTCCCCCTCCATTGACACTTTTAGGACAAATCTTACAATGTACAAGTTTTCAATGGCCTTTGGTTATTTGTAGTGGTTTCAATATTTCAGTATTTTATAATCTTTTTACGTGTGTAATTGTCCTTACCGGTATTACTCTGTTTTATATTTGTGTGTCAACTGTTGTTTTTAAATGTGCTCTATAAATAAACTTGATATGATTTGATTTAAAAACACTATATAACAGGTTACTCTGCTGTTGAGTTAACTGTAAGCCTGGTGCACCAGATGAAGCTACTCATACTGACTCATAGTGCCGGTCCCACTCCTTCCTCCTCGTCAGGTCTGACAGTAGGTGGAACGTCTGCTCTGCCGGTACGCTGACGTGCATCTCCACCTTGAAACACAGCATGTGGTTTTCCTCCAGTGTGTACAGTCTGACCTAAGAATGGAGCACATCCACAAAGAGGAGGTGGGCTCTATGTCTATAAATAGGATTCGCTCCAGTTATTCTAACGTGTACACTTGGAGTTTGACTGCTGTCAAACTGCCACATTAGCTGGTGGGTGCATGAGAGATTAAAATATGGTAATTATATGATTTTGAGGGTGACTATATCCAGATCTTATTCTCCATATCGCTGAAAATGACTTTTGGAGAGCAGGGAGCAGAGGTACGTTTAAAGTTTCAGCTTTAGACAAAGTTTTCGGACTTATTATGCAATATTCTGCAATTTAATGAAAGCAGCATGGTCCTACCTTCAGGACAGCCTCTGTGACCTCAAGCCTGTAACCTCAGCTCATCCAGAATAATACAGATCAGAATGCACGGGTGGATTCACAACAGCTGTAACTATTTAACAAGCTATATCCTGGATGATAACACAAACAATACTGACCTTGTTTTTCTCAGTAGTTAATACCCAGTTGTTTCTGGTATCCATTAGTTTCAGTGCCGACACGTTATTGTAGCTCAGGTACATCTAAAAAACAAGGGACTGTCTGAAAACAGAGGCAATATATAATAAGCCTCGCGAAGCATGTGAGCCTCTGTTTGCCTGAAATTGCAATACCTGGTTACTTGGATCCCAGGGCACAGACACAGGCACTTCAGTTTGCTTGCAGGAGATAATGTATTTCCTGTAAACATGTAGGGCACAGTGATTTACATTCAGGGACAAAAGGAAGATGTGAGAACCTGATCAGAATATAAACCTTTCTGTTATAGCTGTGAGTCAACACATTCGGTTATTAAATAGTGGAATACAGATTTTGCTGGAGGCCGGATATTTTTCTGTTGAACAATGAACTTATTATGCCTGATAGACTCAACACCAAAGTCTGCTCAACTGTGATATGCTGCCCTGCCAAGTCATGTGCTGCTGCAGAGTATTGTAAACAATGGATTATGTAGCACAACATTGGACAAACTGAGAAATGATGACTGTATTACTGTCACTGTCTCTCTTACTTTCAGTGCTTTATATTACATTCAGGCACTATAACTGTTGCTGGCATGTTGTAATTTCTTTGGGAGAAAATGTGTTTTTTGCATACGCAGCAGCTTTTACAATGACAACAATAAACACATCTGCAATGACCCATGCAAAATAAGCCCTCTGATATATCAGTAGGCTGTACAAAGTGCAAAACCTGATGGTTTAAGGGGAGATAGTAACCTATCAAGGCGAATCTTCTTCCTGGCAATAGCCTCTTGATATCGTCTTTTCCCATCCTGTAAAACATAAGAAAACCTAATGTTAAAATCCTCATATAAGGATGCTCTTTATTTTATTTATTTATTTATTTTTTTTTAACTTTTTTTGGCTCTGCTATGAAACTAAGAAAACTCACCACAGGCTCAGGTCGTAGTCGTGGCAGCGTGCACGGCTTCCTGTCACCGTCCAGCACCTCAAAGGTCATAAAAGCACTATTTATATGGCGCAGAGGTTCTCCACCCTGGTAGGCCTCAGCACACACTCCCACCTCCATGCTGTATGGAGCGGCGTGGGTTCACAAAAAGAAGTGCAAACACACAGACCTCCAGTTAAAACACTCTTAGACTGAATGTGTTCAAACTGCAAAGCTTGATTAGATAAGATGCTTCTTTATGTGCAGACTCACCTGTGCTTAAAGGCATTGTTCACAATGGCTTTCAGTACCAGTCGGTCACCAATGTGAGACGGGCCACGAAAATGGAACATGTCAATGCTCCTCAAGGTTGGGTGAGCGTTACACAAGCGACTAGATCAAGATATGAAAAAATAAAGAGAGAGAGAAACATTGGTCTCATTACAAAACGCTGAGAGTTAGATTATCATTAAATATGAATAAAAATGAAGCAACAGGCAGCAGCCAGTTACCTTAACATAAAAACTGGAAACAGTTAGCCTGGCTCAGTCCAAAGAAACAAAACCCACCTACCAGCATCTCTAGAGCTCACTGATTACCATGTTTTATCTCACTTGTTCTAATGCGAAGAAATTACAATTTGTGGTTTTGTGGGGAGTTTTTATGTGGGGCTATTTCTTGGCCAGCAATATGTGAGAACTCAAATTCCCTCTCTGGTACAAAATCTGTGCAATGACCGATTGAGCCAGTGTGTGAATACAGCAGGTAATTTTCAGGATCCTTCACAGCAAGCAGGTGGTCATGTTGATGATGTTTCTATCATGAAGCTCAGACAAAACCGAAGACAACAAACATCTGAGAGTGAAGAAAGAACGGTTCGTTTACATAAAGACAGCTACAAAGATCTCTAATTAGAGAGATGATGAGATTCTGGAACTTCTGTCGGAAAGGGCCAAAGCCGAAATCGTTAGACAAATTGAACGAACGGCAAGAGACTGTTGTTCATGACCAAATTACGAAGCGGATACATGACCGCTGTGTCATCCGCATCATGTCTTGCCTCCTGCACATCCAACCAAAGCACCACCCCTCGCCTTAACAAAACTGAGTATTTCAAGTATGCGAGAACGCTTCTGACAAAGACAATTTGGAAATAAAATGTTAAAATATTCCTTTAAAACTAGTTTGAGTCATATTGAAATTAAACTGAGGAAAACTGGAAACTAGGTTCACACACCTTGCTGCAATTGTAGCCACATTCTCCATCCAGGCCATAATCTGGCCCCCGAATGTACTGACTTGATGGTTGGCATGTGGCGGTAGCACCAGCTCCACACTCTCCACTCGTGTCCGCTCAGCTGGCACAGCGTCCTGGTACTCCTGGCATTCTCCTGGAGAGAGTGCGTAAACAAGGAGCTTTAATCAATCTGATTTTAAATGGAGCATGTGTGCCATGGTGCTGTGTTATAAAGCCCTCTGTCTACAGTCTGTACCCAGTTGAGCTGTGCTGCTGCTCAGTAGGTCTGTAATGATCTCAGCATGGATGAGCCTCATCCTCCTCCGCTCTGCTGCCAGGCTGTACTCCATCTGCTCCGTTTGTGTGCGAGGAAGCACCTGCTTCAGCTGTACCTGTGTTCACATAGTTCACATAAACTCAGGGCATGTTGAGCTCAAGCTTTGGTAAAATGCCTTTGTGTCCATATTTCAGTTCTTGTCCCTCACCTTCCCAGCTTCAGTTCGTCTGGCGACAAAGGTAGCAAAGGCATGACAAACCTTCCACTGCTTGCCAGTGTAAAGGTCCTCACAGTTCACCAATATACCCACCTGAAATGAACAGAGTCACCACATTTTCATTTTTCTGAAATAAAGTGAGCTTTCACTCTGCTGAAATCAAAAACAACATCCACCAACCTCCATACTGGACGTAAAGGCTCTGTTGACCTTTGCTATGATGTTGACTACCTTTCCCACCCTGGAGGAGACACACAAAGACACTTCTTTTCACTATCAACACAGAGCAGTGATTGTAGTATCAACACAAGCCGGACCGGTGAGACATTTATTGTTCACCTGGAGCAGCATTAAGGTAATACTTTACCCTATGGTGTGTTCAAAATGGATGTCGTCCACAGATGCAGTGATACAGGAACAACCTGCATGTCTCTCAGCTGGGAGAGAAAAGATTACACAGGTATTTAAGTGCTACACAAAGCCACAAAGCATCTACGAGTCAGGCAAAGTGAAAGCTCATGAGCTGTAAATATGCGCATATATAAAGGCATACAGAAATAATCAATCACACGGAAAGACGACAGCCCTGTAAATTTAAATGCATTTAATATGTCTGTAGAGCACCAGAGTATGTTAATACCTCAGTGTTATCTATTGCTTGTGTACAGATATATTTAAATATGAAAGCAGTGGCCCATAAGCAAAATACTTTTGTATTATTTATGCTGTTGTAGCCATTGCTTTAATGTTACTGGATAAATTCAGGTAATGTTGCAAATAAATGGGGAGGACTTTGGTCTATCACAGGTCATTTGAAAGAGCTTGTCTGTTGGGTGAAAGCCTGAATCAATAGTGAAGAATCCTGCAGCGAAAGGTCCTATTCCAGCATTGGCAACAACTGTCTTTATGTAGCCTCCATCACAGTGTGTCTTCAGCCTCACTTCCTGCCGCTACAGACTACCTTGCCTGGATGTGAGTGGGCAGCAGCTTCAGAGATACACCCCAAATCAGCCAGCGGATGCAGCAACCTAAATCCAGCTGGTGCAAACCCTAGCTCACTTGACCCAAATTCAAGTTTCCTCAAGCATTTTCAACTCCTCTCCTCATTCACACATTCACATAGAAACTCCATTCAAACTTTAAAATGTTCATCATCTTTCATACATTCTGGCTTGTATTCAACTTTCCCGTTCAAACTTGTTTGCATTGGTGTGTACTGGATTGAACGTTCAGAGCTAGAGTGGGGGACTCAACTGTCAGACTGCAGAGAGCTTCTTAAACACTGCTCTTAAACTCACTGTCACACCCACAATTTCCACTCTACGGACAGCTGCGACTTCCCACTAGATAACAAACTTTCTGTTGCTGCAGTGACACATTAGGCGCTGGCAAAATTCTAGCCGCTACAGCTGAAACTGAAGGTCTGTCTCCAAGCTCCCGCACACTCTTCTCCCAGTGAAGCAGTCCACAGTGGCGGAAAGCAAGGCAAAGGGATAGTAGGGTGGCTAGCTAGCTAATGCTTGGCTCATTTGCAGTCTGATAAACAGAGAGAGAGAAAAAGCATGATAAGGAGAGGCTGAGTGAGTGAGTGAGTTGCATGCATCACACGCATATACACTTATTTATCTACCTAAAAGCTCAGTACAGATATGTCACACCACTTTGGAAACCTGGGATTCAAATCTTGGAAGTGGAATCTCTGACAAAAAAAACATTTTTTAGCTTACACTGTATGTCCACTGCTTCCAGGGCGGCTGTGGATAACAGGTAGAGGGGGTTCTCAGCTAATCTGAAAATCAGCAGTTCGATCCCCGGCTCCTTCAGTACACATGTCAAAGTATCCTTGGGCAAGATGCTGAACCCCAATTTGCTCCCAGTGGCAGTTCAATTGGTGTGTGAGAGTGTGTGAATGGTTACTGAATAGCAGGTGGCACCTTGTATGGTAGCCTCGGCCACCAGCGTGTGAACGGGTGAATGTGACGTGTAGTGTAAAAGCAGTTTGAGTGGTCGGAAGACTAGACAGACACTATACAAAAGCAGTTTCTGCAAGAATACATCACTCGCCATGATGGGATAGAGTTGCAGATGCATGAGCATGTTTAAGGCTTCATGGTCTCCATGTGAGCAGTAATGATATCATCAGATACATGCTGTGAAGCTGAGATGTAAGAAGAACTACTGAGAGTTTAAAAGTAAGACTTTAGATGTTCGTTGTTTTGGGAGTTTTCCTACCAGACAAGCAGGCTGTGGAGTCCATCCACTTCAGTAGCTGTCCAACGCTCAGCTCTCCACAGTGATTGGCATGGCATGGCAGCACGATCTGACTCATCTTCACTTCAGTGGGGTTTCTGTACACTTCCTCACTCTCCAGGATGAACAGAGGGTCCAGCATGGTGTCTGCATGTTTCCCCTCTGACGTCATATCTCACAACTACACGGAAAGAAGGAAAGTTTGTGACAGTAAAGCCAGGACACTGTCAACTTTAATTTGGACTCATATACTGAGGGATAAAAATAACAATTGCAAGTACAACCTGGGATCCATATGTAAGCAAAATGGCCACCATATCACCAAAGTTTAAAACATATGATTGGAACCTGTATCGCTTTGTGCAGTTAAATCTGGAGCATGTCCCTGTGAAGAAACACCAGCTCTAAGTTTAAAGGTGCTTCTTGGATAGTTGATGGAGGTCAGATCTGTTTGGGGAGTCATTCATGACACTTTCATCTAACGTAAACTCCCCATTTTGTGATTCAGGGTCAGCAACACAGCTGTTTACACCCACAACTTACTAACAGTGACTGAAGTGTTGAGTCAGATGCACCACTACAAAAGACAGAGGTTTGTAATGTTAACACGCCTAGATTTTGTTCACCACTCAATGTGAAACCTGCACTCGGTTTGGTTCAGTGCTGCATCATAAGATGCTTTCAATAATCTGCGACTCTGGTCGTGGTCTGAGGAATTGCTCAACATTTGAACCCCTGACTCAAGGATCAGGAAAAACCTGACAACCCGCTGAATTTAATAGTACTGCCTATCAGTTATCAATGAATGCAATTTGACATGAAGTCTTTAAAATGCAGGCTGGGACATGTCCCTGTAGAGCATGTTTTATCAAGCTGAGACAGAAACTATTTTAAGATATATACAGACTATTTTGGGGCATGCAGCTATGAGGTATTTATGGAAACTATTTGTTAGGATAGAAGAAGTGTTTTCCCTTTAACTGCTGCTGCAGTGGGCCGCACTGGTCACCTGTCCTTCTTGTTATTGCTGACAGGAGCTGCAGTGACCTTTACATTCACTTCAGTAGAAATAAGCATACCACAACATTCACCATGAGCTTCTGCTGCAAAACTAGATCCTGAAGTGGGTTGTACAGGCCTGCTGTCATTGTGCAAAACAAGTTGTGGCAGTAAACACACCAGCGTAGCCTACTCTACAGTGCAAACAAACAGAATAAAATGTCTTACCTAGATTTAAAGTTACAGCCGATGGTGAAACCGAGACAAACGCCTTCCAGTGCCAGTGAACCGGCGTCGGCTCCAAAACATTAACACCGGCTGAGAATCATCAGCCTGCAGCACGGACCGCTTTTCATTTCACCCATTCCTCAACAACTTTATAACCACACACACACACACACACGCACACACACACACACGCTACGTTACTTAACAGTTTGACCACTGGAGGGAGGGAGAGAGGGAGAGAGACCATCCCCCTGTACTGGCTACTGGCGTCCACACTTTTTTAAGGTGGAACTGCAGAAACCATGTTGTGCATACACTTATTTAAATAAAACAACGATGCAAACTTTTATGAATAGCTACTTGAAAAACTGTAGACAGTGTTTGTTAACATTTGTTTATGTGTTCAAGTTTTCATTATTCATTTATTTTATTTTACGTTATTTTATTTTATTCATTTATATTATTTTAAAATACATTTATTTATCTTCAACTGGCTTCAGTAAGTCTATATAAGAGTTTTTAAATGTATTCCATACTTAAGTGACCTTTGAAAAGTTAAAAACTCTTCTTTAAAATAAAATTTTCTTTAAAATACGAAGCAACAATGATTTCTTCTGGGAACCCACTTATCTAGTTCTTTTTTTGATTTCATGGAGTACTTGGGATTTTTTTTATTGATTTGCTATGTATCATAGGACTATACATATTATTATTATTTCTTATGAAGGGAAAACAAAGTTTACTCTACCCTAAATAATGACTACTATTTTATTCTAATTTAATTTAATTTAATTTAATTTAATTTAATTTAATTTAATTTAATTTAATTTTATTTTATTTTATTTTATTTATTTATTTTGGCTCTACTGAAGTAAAACCTAGTTGCTCTTGCTCATAATTAGTACACTTAACAGCTTAAAATATGTTTAAAAAATAAAGGAATATTTTGATATGGAGACCAAGATTATTCAATTAGTCAAAAATATTGTCTGAATGTATCTAATAAAAGTAATACTGGTGATTAAAAACATTAAATGAAGAGTCAAAAGAAATATAAACTTTGCCTTTAACCTCCAATCTGTTGGTCAAAAAGAGGTTTGGTGAATATATATCATATCATATCTTTTTTTTTAATAAAGGAATATTTTGATATGAAGGCCCATTTTATTTAATAAGTCAAAGATATTGTCTGAATGTATCTAATAAAATTAATACTGCTGGTTAAAAACATTAAATGAAGGGTCAAAAGAAATACAAACTTTGCTTTTAAAAAAAGGAAAGAAAACCTTGTTAAGGGACTCATACTTTGATGATTATATATCATAACTAATATATAATTTTAGATTATAAATATTTCTTAAATTGTGGATGCTTTCCTGTTTATCAGTCTTTTATTGTAGATTGCTGTTTTGAAAAGAAGAAAGTTAATAGTTAAAGAAAATTAATCACACTTTGATTAATTTATCAGAAGGTCAGAATCAACAGGGGAACTATTAAATAATCTCCATTAAATTCCGCTCATCGATATCGCAGCTTTCAACAGCAAAACAACAAACTCAAAGCACGACGAGGCAGACCTTAAGGCGAATGGCGTGCTCCCATTGGCTGCTCACAGCGTCAGTCACGGCTGGCCCCGCCTCTTCCCCCCGGACCAGGCTCGGTTGAGTCGTCGGGTTGAGGAGGAGTGCGGTTGGAGTGCGAGAGGGTCGCGGCCGCGATGATCTGACAGATGAAATAGCGAAAAAAAAGAAAGAGAAGGCGGTCGTCCTCCCACACAAAACAATGTTCCCCAAAGGCAAAGGCACCCCGGTGCCGTCGGACGGCCAGGCGCGAGAAAAGTAAGCTCAGAAACGTTTATTATTGTGTATTTTCTGCCGCGTAAGTTGTTCCCTCTTGCTCTCTGTTGTTCGCTGGACGGGCTAGCAAGAGGCGATTTCCTCCTACCGAGAATTGAATTGAATGAACCGCCTTGTCTGCTCGCCATTCCTCCCCTGCGCTGTGTTTCTGCTATCTTTGGCTGTTTGCCGTGTCTTTACACCTCCACTTAACGATTTCCAGTTCAGTTTGGTTGTGTTTTAACCGGCCGTTGTGTCATATTTTTTGCGGTTATTCAGTCGCGAGCACGGGGAGGAGAAAACAATAACATCGCCTTGCTACACAGTACATTGTTTTCTCTGTTGCGCTCTGGATAGGCTCCGTTTTTATTTCCCTCAGCCCCATCAGTGCCACCAGGATACTGTACCCTAGCTAATACACAGCAGGCTGGTGGCTTTTTCTTCACATCACGATGTTGAATTATGCTGTTGCTTTAGCACTTTCTTTTAACCTCCTCATTGTAGTGAATCTTGCCCAGGTCCTGGCTTGGTTTCACAGTCCCCATTTAATTTTTTGGCATAGGCTATTTGGCAGCCATTGTTCAGAGGGCCTGTACCCGACTCTAGTCACTCAGTGTGCCCGTTGAAGAAGATTTAATCTGCTGGTTGACGTTTATTTTGTCATGTTTTTTAAATGTAATTATGTGTTTTTCACTTAGGTTGGCTCTGTACGTGTATGAGTATTTGTTGCACATAGGAGCACAGAAGTCTGCACAGACCTTTTTATCAGAGGTATGTGGAATTTTGGGTAAAAGTTCACTCATATTTTAATGTCCATTTTATATTTTAACGCTCTTATGTAAATGTATTGCATGTGCTCTTTTAGGAACAACAATAACTGACACCCATGGATAATTATTAAAATCTCCCTTTCCTAGATCCGATGGGAGAAAAACATAACACTTGGAGAACCCCCTGGATTCCTACATTCCTGGTGGTGGTAAGTGATAAGGGTCTCGTCTACGGGTAAACATGTCCAGGGGTTGTTTGTGTGGTTTTGTTTGCTTCATGACCTGTCTTGTCCACAGTGTATTCTGGGACTTGTATTGTGCTGCACCGGAGAGGAGAGAGACATGTGACCACTCCAGCGAAGCGAAAGCCTTCCATGATTACGTGAGTAGTGCTTACACGGGAACTGTTGCACGTATTGCTCCTGTCTTCTCTGCTAAAGAAGACAACAACTTTGTTCTCAAGGCTAAGAAGTGGTGCAAATCATGCACCTCCAACTCGGGTTGTGCAATGAGTCAGTTTTTTTTTTTTTTTTTTTTTTTTTTTTTTGGTTAGCGCTATCAGAGCAAAGTGCTTATAATCTCTGTTTGTCAACACTCGAGTCCTGACAAAATCTCCCACATTCCACTTCAAGAGTGATACAGCTTGAGGTTATTGTGATTCCCTTTCAGCTTGAAGAATGAGCATGATTCACTCAAAAATCGTGTCCAACTGATTTCTGCTTTTTTTTGCTTTCTTTGGTACGTTTTGCACATTTTATCAGATATATAAGCCATTTTATTCTGCCCACTGCACCTTTATGTGTTTGACTACCTAATGCAATTTGGGAAAGTATCTTTTTTTTTTTTTCTTCTCCTGAATTTACGATCGGTCATCTTGCACTGTCGGTGGGTCGAATGATGCGCCCAACAGTGAGCTTTATAGGCTTCTGGGAAAATGATGCTGATGTCAGCATGTCCTGAGTCAGACCTGTCGAGCGCTCCCTCTCTATCCACACCACGCTCAAGCTCCCCGCCTCACTTGTGAAGATGAAAAAGAAACTGCTGTGTGTTCTGCACAACTTCTGAGACTGTATACACACAGCTTGATTTTTGACAGAGACCTAGAGCTGCTCTGATGTGCGTTAGCTCAAGTATGTATTGAAACATGTCTGCAGTGACTTAATCCCTAATGGATTTGAAATTGAAGAACTGTAAAGGCAATCTTGGATCCAACATTAATCAAACACTGCTCAGGACAAGTACATTGTTCGGTAGCACATTGCTCCTCTTATCATAGCACTTTCATATTTGCATGTATGGGTGTTTTGCATTGATAATTACGCCACTTTAGAGATAACGCTCTTTCTCATGTGCTACATTGTTTCCAGCTTTGAGTCAGCATTCAAAAAGAGCCTCACAAGTATCAAAGAAAGCGCAAGCTGCTGGTCAGATGCTTCTGCTGTTCCCATACTTGTGTTTCATCCTGTAGCTGATGTGAATTAAACAAAAAATACTAATCAGGTTTTGCTTTATCAGCCAGTGAAAGACATTAAGGGTTAAGGAGACCTCTCTGCATGACAGATACACAGCACAGTTTGTGGGCAGGTTGGGGATGTGCAAGACAGGAAGGGGTTAAAACGGAGATGTTGGTCCTGCTCTTGGCAGATAGGGTTGTCAGGGTAACAGGCCTCCTGATCTGGCAGGTGACCTGGGAGCCAGGAGAGAGGCTACAGCGTGGCTCTGCCCTTTTCAATAACCCCATTGCTTATAATTCTAACTCGTGTAGACAAAGGAGTGCATTTTGTTTGTCACCAGCTTTAAGTCACTGGCCGACATCGTAGCAATTTATTGCAGTATCTTAAAGAGATTTAGGTTGCTTGTTTGGGTTGGATGTTTTTGTCTTGTGTGGTTGTATCTTAATTGTAGAAAAGTGTCTCAAATTTCAAAACTCCAATAATAATAATAGCTAAATAACTTTTCTTTAATTGTTTTTTAATTTCTCTTGTAATATAATGAAGAAACATCCTCTCATCAGTTTTGAAAGATTAAACATCACATAATAAGATGTTAGATTGCAGCGCATGATTTGACTGTGACTATTTTCATAATATGGAAAACATTAAGCAAATGAGGCAACAGTGAATCGTCAGCCTGGGCAGTGTGTGCTGCTGTGGCGGAGGAGCTTTGAGAGTTTCAGCGTGGTTGGCTCTCCCCGACATCTTGTGGTTGCCCTTCGCTCTGACGTTGGTTCTCCTTGTGTTCATTTGTGGATGTTGGGGGTCAGGCAAGTGTGTGTATATATGTGTGTGTGTGTGTGTGGACAGTATGAGTCCTTGGACCCTAGCCTTTGTCTAGGTGTGGGGGAGGTGAGTGCTGCTCTGTTAGCCAGCAGTGCTCGTAAAGCCCCCGGCGTATTCACGCTGACGAACGCTCCCCGAGGGGCCCCGTCGCCATGGCGTCAGCGGCTGATTGATGGCTGTCACAGAGCTAAGGGGTAGATTGGAAAAAGGAAAGGGGAGTGGCACTGTGGCATATGCCCAGCATCCACCACCGCCGAGGAGCGGAGGGAATCAAAAGAGGAGGGAGGTTGGGGAGGAAGAGAGGAGGGAGAGGAGAAGTGGAAGGGACCTGCTAGAAGTAACTAGAGAGGGAGAGAGAGAGAGCATCCAGTCAGGATCCAGAGTGGGTTTTATGATGTTGATTGATGGTTAAACATTTACAAGCTAAACATAGGGGCTGGTTTCTTTTGAGCGCTGGTTCCAGTGGAAGAAGTGAGGCTGTTAAGAGCATGCTAGGTCAGGAGCTGGCTGTTGGGTGGTCTGTGCTGCAGCCCAACCCTCCCCCCCAAAATCATTTCTCCTTCATCCCCTTCTCTCTGTGTATACCATTGCTTTTTCATGGTTACCTCAGCCAACCTCTTGGTCATCCTCGCCCTCTACTCTCTTTCCGTCTTTCTCTCCCCCCTATGTGTTCCCCTCTCCCTCTCTCTTTGTTTTTGTAAAGAGAGCACAAGCACATCTGCCGCCACTCTGGCCTTTTGTAACCTCCTTCAGTGATTTGAGAATTTCAGGGGAAATTTGTTTGTCTGGAATTGCTCGTGTGCTCCTGAGTACACACACATACACGCTGAATCACGTCGGGTGGGGGTAGTCTGTCTTAAAAGAGGTCCCCTGGGAAGTTGTATGGTAGGCCCCAGACAAGAGCCTCATGGCCCGGGGCAGGACTGAGACATCTGCCCCTTTCCTGTACCAGAGACTCTGTGCACAGACGTGGCTCGTTCAGACCGAAAGCAGCATCATGCTCTTTGGGACACTCCAGCAAGCACAGCTGTGGGCTTTAGACATGATAAGATTTAACATAACATGGCCGGGAACCCGCCTCGCAAGTTGCTTTTCAGTTTCTGAAGCTATGTGGATTGTTGACATTGTTTTATGACTCAATACCGTGAATGCAGCTTTGTTTTACTTGATTATTTCTTTGCAGGCCTCATTCCAAGAATGGGCTACTTAAGGGTAGAAGAACAAACAACCTGCAGTTGCTGTTTCACTATGAAGGGACGAGACAGTGTGGTTGCATGAATGTATACCACAATGAAACCAGCCATATACTGTACATCAATATTTTAACTATAAAAAAAAGTAACGTCTTTCGCTTGTTACGTCAGGAATGTTTACACACACTTTTCTGGAGTTTAAGAACTCACTACTGATGCAAAGTTTTGTTAGTCCTTTAGGAGTGGCAATTCATATGCTATTTGAATGCTATCAGAATGAGGATGAATATCTTTAGAAATGAGCTTTAAAGGTGTACTGTAAAGGAATTGTCGCTCACTGTTTGTAATCACAGCATTCAAATTTGGCCATTCCTTAATACATAGTTTGTACATAGACTGCATGCCGCTATTGTGGTCATGCAAAGCCGGTACTTTCGTAAGCTAACTATCCACCAGTACTTACCTGTCCAAAAGAAAACAGGCCAACACTCTGTTGCTTACCATCTTCTCCTTTAGTGCCTGCCAATGAAGTCAGAGTGAAATCAGCCCCAGATTCACTCTGGTTTTGGAACAAGCTTTGTCTGCTGTGTCCGCAATTTTTGTTTTCTGTTTGCTGTTATTGGCTAGGGGCCACACACTGCATGCGCACCTACACATGCCAAAAGGTTGCAACCTATCCTGCTGTATTTAGCCTGTCCTGAACATAGCAAAATAAGAAAATACAGGCTGAGGGGAATGTATCTGCAGATAAATACACCATCTCACACTTCTAGTGGGTGGTGAGTAATGATTAAGACGATAACTTTTGTATGCGTCTTCACATTTTAGTATACCTTTTAATAATACATCTATTGAGAATATTATACAACTTGTATTCATGTCACTGGGAACTTCATTGTACTTAAAAATATAATAGTGAAGTCTAAAATTAGGCACAGCCCCCTTTCGAGATCTAAAACACACGAATGCTAGATTAAGATAACTTCTACTTAACACTACTTAACAGTGAATTTTGAAAAGGGGACAGAACCAACTCCTTTACCATATAATGCAAATAGTACAAGTGACTCATGAAATTCTTGATGGCAGAAATTTATGGTTCTCTCACGTAACATAAACAATCTGCACGGGCCTCTTTGTATTTCCTGTTGCAATGTTTGTTAATGCTGTAGCTGACAGGAAATGAATAGTAGCCAAAGCGGTTCCCCTAGCAACAGAAAGGCAATGAAAAGGTCTACATGCAGTTTACTTTTAATGTTGATTTTCCTGAGTGCAGAATAAGGTCTTGCGAAGTGTCTCTTTTCTAGCAAAAGAAGTGCTTGTAGTTCTTGAATAAACCATAAAACATAACGTATAAAACAGTAAAATAGTAATGATAACAATGAGCCTAAAGCTCTGGCTAGTACTCTTCCCAGAATGTCACATAGACCCTTTTACACATGCAGCCTATCCCTGAAATGTTAAGGAACACGTCCTCCGTGGGGTCATGTGTGAATGGATGGAGACGTCTATGTTCAGGAAAATCTGCGCTACTAATTTCCCACCTCAAGACCTAGTAATATTTCACGGAAAATGCTGGTATGGCTTTGTTGTGAATGAAAGCAGTTGCAGGGTTAGGCACATAAAGGGTTACATGCGTCTGAAAGATGCTTTCATGTGGATCGAGCCAGTGACAATAATCTGCAGATGAAGTATTTGAATCTGTGACTGTTTACAGTTTAGCATTTATGCCAATGCTTTCATGCGTGATTTGATAACTAAAACATTACTTGTTTCGCAAACTTGTTGAGTGTTAAATAAATTACAAGAACACTGGCACCGGACAGAAACAGCTCCTCACCCGCCACGTTCCCTGAAAATAATAAGAGATGTCTCCCGCCCTTTATGCGTCTGGCCATTCTTCTAAAACTATTTTAGTATTTCCCCACAATCCTTTTGTGTTGGCGTGCCTGTTAGACCTTATAGGTTAGAAGTTATTGCTGGGTGATTCTTTACAAGTCAGTATCTGTGTCATGCAGGGTGGGATCTTGTTTGACTTGCATAGGGATGAGTTGTCTGGGCAGTTATTCTTGCAGAACAGGTAGTGTTTTATAAATGCAGATGATTTAGTGAAATTTTCTCCATGCAGTGCTGATCTTGAACAGTTTAGTATACACTCCCAATATGGCGCTCACTTTGACATTAGATTAAAAGCCAAAATGATATCTGTTAATAATAATTTGATGTAAAGAGGGCGAGTCACTGGAAATGCTTTTAAATATCTCGGTCAGATGATTTAGTGGAGAAAAGAGATACTGTATAATACTGTATATTTGAAGCGGTGTAGGGATCTCTGGCACAACTTCATCTACTTCCAAGGTGCATGGTGAAGGAAAACGTCCGAGCAGGTTAAACTCCAGCAACGCTTGCAGTATACAGAATGATTGTTGGACCAACACGTTTTGCCTTTTGGCCTCCATGATGTCCTACTCAAGGCCTGGTGAATACAGCAGTATTCAGACTTGGGTTGCAAGTCATGAGACCTTTACCGTGAATGTTCCCTCATGTCATAAGAAACCAAGTGAATAAATAAATGTGCAGATTGGATATGGTTGAAAATGGCACAGTTGATGCACTGGTGAATCCTACTGAAAGCTGCACGTTATACTTCAGAGATATGACAACTCTGGTGCACAGTGTGTGATGCTGAGAAATGTCATTTGCATTATTTCACCTTAAGAGAGTGTCGCGTCTTCCTGGATTCACAATGCATTTATTATGACCGTGTGTATGGGTGTGCTTTTGTTAAATCAACATATTCTGTGTCGTGTGTGTCTGTGGTCTGGAAAAAAGGTAACATTTGTTTTATGAGTATTAATTACAGAGTGGCCCTGCAGAATAAAAGTCTGGTGTTGTCTGCGGGCACTTGAGGACACAAATTAAAATCTTAAGAGAAAAGTAGAAACTGTCTTCACTGAGCGAGCACTTCTGCTTTTGAAAAAAGCATCACAGACCAGTCAGGTCACCAAACATGTACATGCTGCTTGCACCTTAGTGGGATCAAGTTTAATGGCTCTCCGGGTATGTGAGCTATTTTTTTAAGAAGGTGCTCAACAGGCTGTGAATTTGAGGGAGTCATTACCGGACTAGAAGTATGTTATATGACATTTGTATCTTAAACACTGAAAATTAAGTGAACTTTGAGGCTTAGTTAAAATGTATTCATACACAGATTGACCAAATTCTGAGAGCAACCATTTCTACGTAAATGAGCTGGGTAGTTGAGAGTAACTGGTCAAGATGGGTGAGCAAGTACTTGGAGTGCAAATTTGGTCTGTGGATCAACTGGAATCTCCAGAAAATTTCTTCTCATTCACATTTACAGCTGTTTATTTTAGTAAAGAAACTGGATTTACAGGCTGTCTGTGTGTGTGTGTGTGTGTGTGTGTGTGTGTGTGTGTGTGTGTGTGTGTGTGTGTGTGTGTGTGTGAGTGTGTGTCCCAGTGGTGGTGGGGCCTGATGAGACGTGACTTCCCTCTGTGGCCTCACTTCTCTCCCTGCTGAGGTATTTCACAGTGACCCTGCAGTGGCAGCCTGAGCAGATATAATTAGGGAAGGAGCAGTCGATACCAGGGAGTGTGTTGGCTATTGACCAGTGATGTCTGTAGAGCTCTGGACAGAGTGTGTGTGTGTGTGTGTGTGTGTGTGTGTGTGTGTGCGCGCGCGCAGGTGCTGGTACATCCATCCTTGTAGTAATCATGGCCTGTTTGCGCATTAAGAAATGGGACTGAAGGAGCTTCTCTCGTTGTGCAGCCGTTCTTTGAAGCTAAACCCCACAGCTCTGAAGACATTAGCCCATCTCAGATTGCCTCGGCTACAGGGAAGAAAAACTCAGTCAATTAGGAGTGTGTGACCGAAGCAAATGGCACATTAGTGAATTAGGGCTGCGGTTTGAGCAGGAAATCAGCCCAGCAAGCCCCTGCTGTGTAGCAGCACTTTGGAGCCACTGACTCAGTGAATCCCACTGATACTTATCTGATCCACTGGATCCTGGATTAGCAGGGCACAGACGCCTCAATAAGGTCCCCATTAACACCCCTTTCACAAATGATGCAGGCGTACAGATGCATGTTGGTGCTCTCTGTTTCTTTCTCTTTTAAGATGAGTCAAGGAGGCTTAAATGATGTTTAAACAGTAATTACATGGAAATTAATCTCAATTTAAGTCAGAAGCCTGGACTAAGGTCATACAGCCTGATCACATAAAGCACATTTACTGATTCAGAATGACAGCTGACGCAGGTTTAGCCTGCATCACTGAGTTAGTCCAGGAGAATATTTGATTCCTCAGATGCACTCCTCCTGCAGCCAGCTGTGCCAAGAGCTGTGGTCATGACAGGATAAAATAGATTTCCAACAATAACATTTCGTCTGCATGTTAACGTTCCACATGTGTACTGAGGATGCACTTCAGTCTTAACTAGACACTTTATCACGTGCTTCACATTCGGAAGTTATAATGTTGCTGTTTTCTGTTTTTTTTTTTCTTAGAGTGCAGCAGCAGCTCCCAGTCCTGTGATGGGAGGGATTCCCCCTGGTGAAGGCATGCCAGGAGGACCCATGCCACCCGGCTTTTTCCAGGTCAGCAAATCACTGATAGTGCGACAGTATTGACGGTTTTATACCGTTGCTATACCGGCGTCACATTGCCTAATTTATTGGAATTGTTACCTCCAAGCTTATCAATTCCTCTATCGATGCCAGCGTGCTTTTTTGACAGTTGCGCATCACAAAATAATGACGTCATACTAGAAACTTGCAACAAGGAGTCTTGCTGGAGAGGAAGATGAGGTCCAAAGCGCAGCTACATTTCACAAAGAAAGATGACAACAGCGGTGCTTTTAATGTCTGTAACATTAAGGTGGAAATGCTAGCAATATGCTGAAACATCTTTTCATGCAACATGGGCCCAAAATGTAGGAATGCCATGTATCTGAGACTCTGCACACTAGTTCCGCAGCTGAGTAGCATGTCCATTACCAAGGCTAAATGTCCTAGGTCATAATAACATAACAGTAGCACCATGCATGCAGGCTTAGCTAAATGAAATTCAATGCCGTAATATTTTCTCATTTGATCCACAGTGTGTTCGGACTTAGAGATATAAAAAACAGGTGCACTGACACGTAAAACCTGTGCAGGCCTACTTTTTTTCAACACAGAAAATTGATCAGGAATCAATAAGGGTTTCAATGAAGAATCCGGCCATAAACCATAATCAATAATGGCATTAAAATCCTATCAATTCTAATTACTTATACTGTCTGTTACTGTTAGGAATACTCTTAAATCAACTTCACCCCCACATTTTACTATTTTCACTTGATAAATCACTTCATAATCAGTTACCAAAATTAATATCTAGTGGATGGACAGATTATTTAATGGATAGATCATTTTCTAAGCTGCACGTCTGCAGGCTCCAGCTTTGTAAAATGTTGTCAGGGTTTTGTATATCTCCTGGAGTTGTAGGTCTCCATTGGTGTCTAGACTGCTTTTGTCTTTTGTTTTGCTCCACTCTGCTCAGCGAGCTTGTAGTAAACATCATAGACGTTCTGTCTGCTCGGGCCCCTCCAGTGCTGTAAACAGGCAGGCGTGGCCTGGCCATTTTCCCTAATGGAGAAATCGAAAGGTGCAGCACCTACTGTAAATCAATATCTCATGAGGATAAACTCTTGGCAGGCAACTGTGTGGAACTGGCTCTAAGAGGTGACATAAAATTGCAGTGTTGCTCTGCCTCCACTAGACCAAACCACCAGCTTATTATGTACTAGAAGCCACAAAGGCATGACTCATTATGTGATCATGTTAATATCAGGAAAGACATTTTGACATTGATACATGAACGCACACACACTCATACTTTCCATATCAGAATCCATTGGAGGAGGCTCAATTAGACCCCTCACTCTCTGTCAGATCAGCAACATTAGCGACACAGTGCCGGTGTTTAGTGTTGTTATAAAGCTAATTGCATAGAGCTTAATTGACACTGTTAATTCAGGGAAATTAGCACTGATAACATGCTGCATGCAGCAGGCTTCTTGATGACTTGACTGACAGGCAAAAGAGCACACATCCTCTCCATCTCTCTGTCTCTTTTCTCTCATTCAAGGCTAAGTCATTTGCTTGCTCTTCTCCGCTCAGTCTCTCTCTCTTACTGTGTTTGGTACATGAAAATGAGCATCTTATTTTTGTACTTTTTTTGCGCCACACTTTGGTTCTTGCACTCCAACTGTCCTCTGCCCTGCAGTAACCCTGCTTCTCTCTCTGCCCCTCTTTTGTCACTTCTGTTTCTCGCTCCCTCTTTCTCTCTTGGTGTCATCCTCCCCTCTCTCCCTCCTCTGTCTTCCTCCTTGGCTCTTTATTTTGTGCGATGCCACAGGGTCCTCCTGGTCCCCAGGGCTCTCCTCACCCTCAGCCTCCTCCCCCTAACAGTATGATGGGACCTCACAGTCAGGTAACACTCCCTCTCCCTCTTTCTCTCTGTTTTTTCTGTTTTGGCTATCTGCAGTCATTTGGGAACGCCGGTTCTCAGTGCTGGTGCTTCATGCTTTGGCATCCGTCTCAGCTTAATGCTTAATGCTGCTTTCAATATTCACACAGACAAGAAATGGTTCTGCATTTTGAGAGATTCATGTCATGTCTTTATTTAAATCTCATGGAGCAATGTTGTTTCTGTTGTAGTCTTTCATGTCGCCTCGCTTTGCTGGAGGCCCGAGAGGTCCCCCCATCAGGATGGCCAACCAGGTAGAGCTCACACAAACACACACATAGACAAACACACATTGGGTGCAGAATACATAGCATGCATTTAAAACTGCAGGTACTTATTGATTCTCTGTCTTTTATCCTCGATAGCCACCAGGTGGAGGACCGGGTCCTCATCCCATGCTGCCCAACATGGACCCAACACGACCACAAGGTGTGCCTACATAAGCTACATACTACACCTTCAGTAGAGAAGTTATTTCCTGTCTTCTCTCTTTTTATAATTTTCCTTTCGCCCTCCAGGCCATCCTAACTTGGGGTCAATGCAGAGAATTGGCGGCCCTCGAGGCATGGGACCCATGGGGCCTGGCCCTCAGGTAGGCTATTCTACTTATAAAGAATAATACAGGGTTCGTATGGTCATGAAAAACGTACAATAGCAATATCCTGCCCTGGAGAAATTTGGGGAAAATAAATCAACCCAGAAAGTATTGGAAAAGTCATGGCAGTTTGTTTCACAAATACCTGTATAATGGAGGGTATGTGGTTCCGTTAAGATCAACTGAGAAAATTCTATGTTGGTCAAACAATACTTAAATGTTTGGGAGATCAGTCATGTCAGTCACATCACTTGATGTTATGTTGTTCTCCATGCGGGTAACGTCAGACTCCAACTGAGTTGCACATTATTTTTGACGACATACAAGTTCACACAGTGCCAGGAAAATATTTGTAAAATGTTAATAATGTCTGGCTTTACTCGGACAAGTAAAAGGCATGGTTGGAGAAAGACCAGGACCTGGAACATGCAAAATATGGAACTTGGGAGAGGCAGCGTTAGCTAGCCATGCTCAAGGAGCTAACGTTAAGCACCGAATCAACTCCCATCACCAGCTTTTTCACCCTGGTGAGCAACGTGACATTTGCTGCCAGTAGCACTTCCCTTTCGTCCACCATCAAACAAAGGACCATTTCAGGTGCTGTGTCCAGAAATGCAAGCCCTAACTGTAGAGATATTATGCGTGCAAAAGGTAGCGAATTTGCACTGTTGCTACAAGACAAAAGCCAGCTTTTTTATGTCATGTTCTTCAACAGCCAGATTGCTGCCAGATTTGCCTGCAGTGTACACAAGTGCTTTTATACATGTACTTTTCTGGAATATAGAATCTATAGAATGTATGGTCATAAAAAATTTGCCTCTAATGTGTGGAAAGTTCATGGAAATTTATTGGTAGATATATGTATGACCCATGGTAATATCATCACTGCCCTGATGACCCGTTTGTTAACTTTTGTACCAACCAAATCCAAACCAAAGTTATTTTGATGTTCAGATGATCAGGGGTTTGCATTGCTTTTTCTGGGATTACTGCACCCTGTGGTTCAAATTGTTTAAAATCAATCTTCACTGACAGTTTAATGATTTTTGTTTGTCTTCTCAGAACTTTGGTGGAGGAATGAGGCCTCCACACAACACCATGGGTCCCGGTATGCCAGGAGTCAACATGTAAGCCTTTTTTTGTTTGTTTGTTAATATACGTCTCACAGACCTTTATTTAACTTTAATGCATTATCTAAGTAAAAATTTCTATTCTGCCATCTAGGGGCCCAGGGACTGGTCGGCCATGGCCCAATCCCAACAATGCCAACTCTGTGAGTACTAATGCACAAACACCCAGAAAACTGCTGGTTCAGATTGCAGTCAGATCTCCTCTCAGAGCTGTCGGGGTATAATGTGCTCCAAGGTTCTAGTCTGGGATGTAATTGTAGTATTATGTGTCACGGTTTCCACAGACAGTTGGACAGACCGCCATAATGTTATTAGGATGATCAAATGATGAATGATGACATTTTGAGGTATAGAAAGGGTTTGCACTCACCCATTTCTGGTCTGTAATGTTTGTGTTTTTGGTTTCAGATGCCTTACTCATCACCGTCTCCTGGTGCATACGGGGTGAGAACACATCCTGCCATCTCAATTTACATAATACCGGCTCAGGGAAATAACATTTTAAAGATAGATTTTACATATACATGTTTTTAGATCTTTATTTTTGGATTTATTCTCCATAGGGTGCCTCTGGAGGTGGGGGGCCCCCAGGAACTCCCATCATGCCCAGCCCTGCAGGTTAGTGCCTCCCTGACCAAAGCTGTTAATCAGTACCCTTTTCATACACTACCCAGTACCAATTACATGTATGATTGCACCTTTTACAGACTCAAACAACTCTGGTGACAATTTGTACACCATGATCAACACTGGACCCGGCAACCGAAATAATGTAAGTTCTGTTTTGTTCTCTTCAGTCTGTGTTAGGTTGGGATATTGTGATTATTGAGTTAAGTAAAAGCACAATTAGCTTAAATTTGAAGACAGAGCATTCTCTAGAAAATTATTTTTGTATCTCACCAACTACCTTATTACTTGTTGTATCCCTTATACACCAAGCCCATCATTCATCCTCTGTCAATCAATCCATTTTAACGACACACCTAAACATCAGGGCCAGGCCAGTTAATGTAATGGGGGGGTCACTTAAAACAAGTTGTTGTCAGAGGACAACAATTAAGTGGCTGAGGTATACAGCGTGTTGTGAGCTCCACTGGTCGTTATGAAAAGCTTGTACCATTAAGTAAACACCTGACCTCTCTACCATCTCAACACACTGCTTTGTCTAATGACGGCTTGCAGCTGGCAGAATAGTGACAGTTGATCTGGTCTGTGCATCCATGTTGCTGCACAAATTAATTTTATTCTTGTTGAAGTTAAACATTTTTCTACTCATTTATGTCATCACTGTAAACTGACATTATTTTATGGATGATGATAAAATTACTGATCCTGGTTTGAAATTTATTTTTTCTTTATAACATTTAAAGCTGCAATGATTAATCAATAAATTGAATAGTTATCAACAATTAAAATAATCGTCTAATAACTAATTTGATAATCAATCGGAAAAAAAGTCAAAATGATCTGATTCCAGCTGCTTAAAAGTGAATATTTACTACTTTCTTTACTCCTATATGATAGTACAATAAATATCTTTGGGTTGTGGACAAACAAGACATTTAAGGAAGTCATCTTGGGCTTTGGGAAACACTGATCAACATGTTTCACCATTTTTCTGACATTGTATAAACCAGCAACTCATCGATTAATCAAGAAAATAATCAACAGGTTAATCAACAATGAAAATAATCGTTAGCTGCAGCCCTAATAATATTCCATACCACCAAATGACATTATAAAATCTAAACTTAAAGCTTCCTCTCAGTTATATATAGGATGTTAGATCGACTAGCTTTCAAACAGATCAACACACATATCAACCCATTACACTTGACATTATCTTTTTCAAAAACGAATTTGAAATATGTATGTTTTATGATTTATTAAATTCTTTCTTTTGTATATATCGAGCTGGTCTACATGAAGAACACTTAAACTCAGCACTAGTGCCCTGGCTTTACTAAAGCACATTTGCACTATGCACCCAGGAATGTACAGAAAGATGTTAATAGAAGCAAAACAAATACACACATATACTGGTTATACTGGTTTCATACGTGTGTTTGATACTGTAGGCTTTTGTTTCAGTCACTCTCTCGGAGCTGAAGTGATCAGTACAAGGATTTATCATTTGAAAGAGGCACTCAAGTTCACAGGAGCAGAAATAAGTAAATGCACTGTGTAGTAACTGAGTTGCTGATTATTTATAGTCAAAATTCAGTACCATTGCTATGCGGATGACACACAAATATATGGTAAAGAAGGTCATTTTAATCATCTTTGATTCTGTCTGTCAGATTTAAAGTGCTGGATGTTCCAACACCTTCTCCAGTTAAATGACAAGAAATCAGAAAAAATGCTCTCCAGTCGAACAAAATCCATCACTATTTTACAAAACCATCTTGGCATACAATCTGGAAATGTCAAACCTGCAGTCACAAATTTGGTGTGATATTTGACAGTGACCTCTCCTTTGAAAAACAAATTACAAACGTTGTCCAGTCCTCTTTCTGTCAATTAAGGAGCATCTCCAAAATCAGGTCCTCTCTCTCTCAGCTTGATCTTGAGAAGGTCACCTGTGCTTTTATTTCTTCCCGGTTAGACTACTGTAACTCTTTGTATTCAAGGTTGAGCCAAAAAGCTATCTCACACCTTCAGCCAGAGCAAAACGCAGCTGCTAGGCTTTTAACAAACACTAGAAAACATGACTGTATCGTGGTTTAGCTCCCAGCTACAGTGCTGAGACGCTGCTCCCCTACGAGCCAGGGTGCCGCCTCAGATCCTCAGGCAGGGCTCTGCTGGCTGTTCCTCAGAACAGCTTAGCTCAAAGCTTAAGGTGATCGGGCTTTTGCAGTCAAGGCCCCCCTGGAGCTCCCTGCCTGAGGGTCTGAGGCTTGCAAGAATCAGGGACATCTTTTAAGTCACTTCTTCAAACGGATCTGTTCAAAAAAGACTTTTTATTAATTTAAGCAAACGTCTTATTTGATTATTGTAATCTTATACTGTTATTTATTTATTTTTAATTCAGTAGTTCTTAGTACAGAGGACTTCCAGTGTAATGCGAGTTGTGCTGTGAAGAAATGGTTAGTGAGTCCATGCTGTCTTGTTTCCCCTCCAGTTCCCTATGGGCCCCGGCTCTGACGGACCCCTGGGAGCTATGGCTGGGATGGAACCACACCACATGAACGGGTCACTAGGTAACACCACCTACTACAACAGTACACTTACCAATGCAACACCAAAATGTTCAGGTTGAACTCTTAACGTACCTCGTGATACTCCAGTCAAGGACAATAGATTGTTTTTTCCAGTAGAGCCACTGCATGGAAATGGTTTTCTTATGGTCATACAGTATAAACATTGCTTTTCATTTGATTCAATCCGTAGGCTCCGGTGATTTGGATGGAATGAACAAGGTAAATATTGCGACCATGCAGAGAGTCTGTGCATTCAGAGCTTAATTGTGAATACAGTGAAATTCTATACATTGTAAAAAACATTGTGCACTCTGTTTCCAGAATTCCCCAAACAATTTAAGTGGCATTAGCAATCCTCCTGGGACCCCAAGGGATGACGGGGAGCTGAGTGGAAACTTCCTCCACTCCTTTCAGAGTGAGAACGTAAGTCTGCCTTCCTGCCTGTCCTCGGCTCACATCACTGGATGGTTGGTGACTGTAATAGTACTTTGATGAAGCCAGAGGTAGAACGCTGTAGACCACACAGAGAAGCCACAGTCACAGCGTATTAACATCACTGACTACAGCAGCAGCGTGGAGGGCTAGCATAGCGTCTGGTAGGGAGAAGGTGTGTGTGGATGTGTGTTTTAATTCTCTCGTCTTCTGTCTGTGCCTCCGCAGTACTCTCCAACCATGACGATGAGTGTGTGACCTCCCCTCCGCCCAACCCGACATTATTTGCCATCATTCCGAGGATCTGAACTCACTATAGGACACGGCCAAACACATCAGCACCGAATCAGGGACAGGCGCCATTTTGGTTCCACACTAACGCCAGAATGCTGATCGGAGAAAAAAATCCAAATGGCTGGCGACTACTGCTCCTTACTCAAACATGAAGGACAATTTCTCCATTTATCACAACCCCAAGTGTGACGAAACCAGCTACTGAAAATGCATACATGACACGTTTTATGTTCTTTGCAGAGCCCCCCCATAACCCTCCTTCAGCCCCGCTAGAGCGAAGAGGAAAAAAAAATGGTTGAAGTTTACCTCTTGTACTTTTTAATTATTGCTTTGTGGTGCAAGATGTGCAGGAAATGTCTCCGCTTTTGTCACTTAAAACACTGGAGAGTGTGCATATGCATTGTGAGCTTGGAAAGTCTTTGTCTTGTCATTTTATGCCATTTTCGCCATGCATACTGTGTCACGAACGTCAGTTGACATAGGACTCAGAATTTGCCTTTTACTCTGTGGCCACCTTTATGAATAACGTACTATCCTTCCCAACGCCCACCCTTCTATTTAAAGAGGTTTGTAAGGGGAAAAGACTTGAAAGATTACGGCTTTTATTGTGACGACCTTTCACGGTATGTAAGTGCTCAGATGGTTCTTACAATGTCAAATTGATCCCGTTTGATCAATTTCAGTCTCTTATTGTTGACAGCAATGCGATCCTGCACTCTTGGCTGTTTAATTTAAACAGCAAGATTGCCGTTGCGTTCTGTCAAGGGAAACCAGACTTCGGCATAAGAAGTGAGTGCATGAATGCTGAGAATCTGTGTACAACATACTACCTAGTGCTGCTCTTCTCTATGTGGACACCTGCTTTAAGATGTGGTGTATATCTCTTTACCTGTCTGTGCTTAACACTCTGTGCTCTTCATCGTCGTAGCCTTCTGTGTTCTCTCCAGTTTGGTTGATTATGAATGAGCTGCCCATTTTAACCTCTCATACATATTGGTTGTTCATACTTCCCTTCCTCTATCATCGGTCGTCCCCTTGGCCCTGCCCCCTTCTTGCCCGCCCACACATTTTTTTATATTTTGATACAATCTTTGACTACATATATTGCCCCAGTTATTCAGTTAGTCAAAGCTTTCTAAACTGATTCTAGTAGGCATCATTATAAACTTAGCAGCAGTCTTGTAAATGTGATGAGAATTTTTATTTCTTTTTTTTTTTTTCCTGTGAACATTACGCATTATATACATCTGTCCTATGTTGCCTTTATTTGCTGATATTTTTTTATTTCAAATTGAGGAAAGATTGCTTGTTAATATAATTTTACAATAACTTAACTAAACTGTGCGGATTGTTTTATTTTTCCTGAATTTAAATTCACATCACTTCACATTTAAAGGGTAACTCTGGCATTTTTGAACCTGAACCCTATTTTCCTATATTTTTGAGTCTTAATGACTGATGTGAACAAGAAATTTTAAAATTGGTTCAGTGTTGAGAGAGAGAGGGCTACAGCCTGCAGCCATGCAGTGCCCACAGTGTAGCCAGATGGGGCAATTGTGTAAAGTCACTGTACGTTTATTAGAAGTGATCATTTTTGCCACAGACAGGCTCTGATTGTTATTATAAGTGTCTGAGGTGACTCCTAACCTTTTGCTTGAGTGTGTTTGTTATTGTCAAAATCTTGCTCAAGTTGAAGTCTTGTTCTGAAATCTCACAAAAATTGCTTTTTTGCAGTAAGACTTATGTTAGAAATGCCAGTGAAAGTGAATCGTTTGTTGTGTTGGAGTGCAGAAAGTGTAGCTTTATGTTATCTAAAAGACTGTCAATGTGATGGATGATGATTTAGCGGATTTCCTCAATATGGATGAGACATTTGAACTCAATGGCTTTTAACCGGAGTATACAGACGAAGAACTCCCACTAATTGAAGAGAAGGAAAGGAGAGAAAGAGGGACGACAAGCAGCAAAATGTTGAACTTTAAAAGCTTAGGAGACTGGTGGTGTTCCTGTCATGAGAGAATTCAGAATGAGAATTCTCCCGGAGTGAGACACAGCAACAAACAGACTAGATCAAGCAAAACGTAAAGAGACACTTCAGACATTTACAATACCATTGTGAGCCCGTCTGTGGCAAAAATAACGGACGTACAGTGATATTGTGCAACTGCCCCATCTGTAGTTACATTGCGAGTGTTGCATGGCTGTAGCCCTCTCTCTCAATACTGGTCCAATTTCAAAAACTCGTTCACATTAGCTACCTAGACACAAAGATATGGTGAAATAGGGTCCAGGTTGAAAAATGTTGAAGTTACCCTTTAAACTTGACTAAAAAATGCCACTGAAGCTGTGGATATAATCCAAAGTTTAATGAATGCTTACAAGTATTACAAGTTACAAGTATTTAACTGATGCAAAAAAAAGTCATATATATATATATATATATAAAGGATGTTTTGTCATATAAAACACCTGGAGGGATCCATCTTCAGCTGGTACTCATGGCCAGCAGCTAACGTTACATTCACATTCCCCCTCCTTTAATTCTTACTGCTCCAGCAACACCACACAGCACTCTGCAGCAGGTGGGATGCACCGCCATAACCAGATCACTGATCCCCTCACCCTAGGACATGACTGTGGGGGGGTGGATGGCCAGGCAAAGAAGTCCACCGAGACCTAACATTGTAGAAGAATCAATCAATCAATCAATCAATCTATGACAGTTACAGGTAGCTAGCAAACTGTTCTAGCTAACGTTACCCAGCTGTTATACAGTAGCTAGAAGGGTTCCCACTTAGTGTTTTGGAGCATCAGTGGTGCACTGAATAAGGCCTTTGTGGGAGGTCAAAATGTGCCAATATGATTGGCCATCAGGGCCCCTTTTCCTGATATTTTTTGGGGGGCAAACATGTTTGGTTTGCCTCTACTGACGGTGCACCACTGGTTATAAAAGTACCCAATATTTGCTTTAGGCCGCAGCCACCAGATCAACAAGAGGGATTCCTGGAGAGCGCGAGGGACACTTTGACACAGAAAAACACTGCAGATTGGACTGACTTGCTGTGATACGAGAAAGGAGGAGGGACATAGTGATGAAGTTGTGTACACTGGTGGTTCCCAACCTTGGGGTAGGGGACCACTGCAGAGGGTCACTAGATAAGTCTGAGCGGCAGCAAAACAATTAATGTGATCGAAAAACTACACAAATTTTTATTAGTTTGTATTACATACATTTTTCAAATGACACCATCTGAGATGATTATAGGGGGAAAGTTACTATTAGTTGGAATTCCAATAGATATAACAGTATTTAGATATTTTACGTTACTAAAAGTAACAATACCACATTGTAAAAGTACTTTTTTAGAAGTAAAAGTCCTGCGTTAAAGTCTTACATAAAGATACAAAATAAAATATACTTAAAGTACTGAAAAACTAAAGTAATCATTATACATATGTGCTCATTTTATAATTTTATATGTTATTGGATTTTAATAATTCATGCATTAATGTACATCACTTTAACGTAGCAGCGTGGTGGAGCTCATTTTATTTACTGTTGGGTAACCTATAATAATAATAATTTATATCATAGTTTATTAGTTGATTTATATTTTGTCTTTTTAGCCTAAATCTACAAAGAAATTAGTAACTTAAGATGTAAAATAAATGCAGTGGAGTAAAAAGTAAAATATTTGCCTCCAAACTTGGAAGTGGAAGTATAAACTGTTGTAAAATGGAAATACACAAGTACAGTACAAGTACCTCAAACTACTTATGTACAGCACTTAAATAGATATAATTAATTAATGTGATGACAGTGTGACCCTGTGGTATTTTTAAATGTCATTGATGTCAAATTTTCCTTTAACCTGCCTATTTACCATAGCTAAGGGACCTTCCTCGATGTGCACTGATTGGATGACAACAAATCTCAGTGGGTCATATAGTGATGGTCCATTATTAAGACTGTAGGGCCTTGACAAGCCAGTGGCTCCTCCTGGTGTAGGAGGGATAACTTGCAACAAACTGGCGGGGTCCTTCAAGATTCAGGACAGCGGCAGAGAGTTTTCTGGGTAAGGTTACCTTATAACTTCATGTCATCCATTTTTTAAATCAAAGCCAGATTTAAAATGTTCAGAATCTGACCTGCATGCTAAATCCAAACAACCATACTCACTTTGCTGCTCTCGCCCCTGGCTGTCTCTCACTGAGAAAGGGGGTTTGCAGTCAGTATTGGTCTGTGAGTAAGTCAGACTGAGTCAGTGTAGTCAGACTATAAACCTCAAAATACATATCACTCAAATGACAGCTGTAAAGAGATGTGAAAACAGAGAGATGGAAGAAATACCACTGTATGAGAATTCGTACCTCTACAATTTTAGACCTGGTTGGCTGTCTGAGGCACAAGTGTGAGTCATGAGTCACCCAACAACCCACTATCACCTGGATCTTACTGAGTGGGTTGCCAGGTTGTGTCTTATTACTCATTCCAACTAAACAAAATCTCATGGTGTGACTGTGAGTAGTTACAGAGAATCTATAAGCTGTCTGTGTTTTGTTTAGTCGACATCTATTCATCTCCACCTGCTGGAGAGGGCCATGGGACACAGCTGAACCTTGAGTTTAGAGTTATAATCGCAATATATGTGTTCCCAGGGTCAAGAAGAAAACTCCATGCTCAAGATCTAATATTCTATATAAAATAAGGCCTTCATGCAGCACTTAGCTTCTCTTAACCCCTTCAAAAAGCTTCACTGTGTTATGAAAGGCTCTTCTCCTTTATTACATGAGACATCTGTTGCCTCTATAGAAGTTAGACAGTCTCAATCAAGGTTCTGCAAAACACCAGTAAATGGTAAAAACATGTTAAAAAAAAAAGCAATCGAGGTCATTATATTTAAGGAAGTTAATATGTTTTTTTTTTTGTTGGCAAAACCATTCTGAAGATGATACAGATTCAGCCAGATGGGTCACTTCCATGTTTGGCAGCCAAGAAGAAAAACATCCTCATGTTTTTCAGGGCTGCTGCTCTCCTGTTGGAGTAAAAATGGCTTCACATTGCCCTCTGGTGGGCTGCAGAGGACCCTCCTGCTTTGCAGAGACCTCTGGCCTAGTCACGATATTTCCACTCCCTAAAAGTAACTGAGCACTAAACAAGCTGGCTTCGGTTTGACTTAAAGATTCGGACGTGAATCCGTAACAAGGGTCCATGGCTGGGAGGATCTGACAGTGTTCTGGTTCCTGTCTAACAATAGGAAGCGAGGCTGAGCTGCTGCTGGCTGCTCTCCACAGGATGTGGCCTGGCTGGGCAGGAGCCAAACCTGCTCTCCAACTTTAGAGCCACACAGTTTAAGGTTATGAAAGCTGTAGCAACACAAAACTGCTTTGTTCACCACTATATCCTAGTAGTAGACTTGTAACCCTGAGCTATGAACCTGTAGTTTATTCAATGTGTGTCACAGGGTCTTTTTGTGCTATAAATGTATTCAGATTTTACTGTACTTTTTTCAACAGGGTTTATTTTTACAGTTGCTTATACACTTAACAGACAAGTTAAGGCCCACGTTTGCACAGATGCTGCTTTTTTATTGCGTGTATTGTAAAAAATATTACAGGAGAAGATGTTAAAATGTACTGAAATGTATGAGTGGGTAATTAATTTAGTGTTAGTGTGGAGAAGAGGAAGCAAAAGCTATAACAAAAGCAGTTAAATTAATTATAAAAATACTGTTAAACAGTTGGGAGTCTAATATTAAAATGATTGCCTGCTACATCGTCCATGTTTTCCATTATCAAAATAGTTGCTTTTTCCCTAACTACATAGACATCAATAAAATTAATACCTTGAGAAGTGATAACACTCACATTTGATTATATTTTATTGTTATATAATACTATAGCAGAATAAAAACAAGAGGGGACAGCTGGTTGTGTAGTAAGACTGGAATTTTATATAGTTCCAGACACACCAGAAGCCAAAGTCAATGGATGTGCAAAGATTAGACAGTTAGGTATTAACTCGCATCAGGGCCTGAATGCCACACACCATGACTTGTGTGTATGTGTGCGCACCCGATTTGTTGAACTTGGCATGGCCCACATACATACAGTACAGTACATTTACCATTTATCACTTCCAGACTAGACAGCAAACAACAGACAGATTGTCATGTGGTGTCTCACTGCTGTGTGCGTCAACATTAAAGCCCCATGGCCACTTTCTCCACAGAAACATGATGTAGAAAGTGAAAACCTCTGGAGCTTTGCAGACAATCTTTTTGTCTTAATGGGTCGGGGGGAGAGAGAGGATGAGTCATGGCGAGAAGTGACAGCTACAGATGTGTTGCAAACAATGGCTCACTCACAGATCTGGTGCTTTTCATTTTAATAATTCACTGTGGGAGCAATAACTTAGATTGTCTATGTTTTTTGAGTGAAGAAAATATGATTGAAATTTATCTTTTTCATATCTATCCAGCAATATCGGCTTGCAGTGGAAGATGGTGTACGGAAACTTTCAAATGATTTGGCATGACAAAATAAGCACAACTCACCAAATGACCTATGACACACTTTAAGCCAAATGTTGCGTATAAATTAAGAGCTTGATGCAGGAGTTTTCCCAGGTTATTCTTTATTATACTACAATGCAAACATTCAAAAGAAAAACATTTCATTATGATATGAGAACATTCAAAGAAAATGCAAACTGTTTAACAAGATGCTTATTATGAGTCTCATCAGAAATGCTCCGACATAATTAAAGGAGGGCTTGCTTTTAGATAATGTTTCATCAGATTACAGTTACCAGAGGTTTACACTGTAATCATCATATAAAAAGCAGCCTCCCGGAAAATCACCTCGAAGCATTTATAGAGCAGTTAATACAGTTTACAATACTGACTGTATACTTAACAACTGGACCTGCAAGACAAGTGGAAACAAGTGCTTTCATTCACTTAAATCTTAAGGTCTTTTAAACTTTGGAATTATGACAACATATTAGGTGAAATCTCCTGTACATTATTCAACACCTCAAACACAAACTCATGACTGGACTGTCTTTCTGTGTCTCACTTCATCTGGCTACAGAGGCCAACGGTTTAATCTGCAGCCGTCATTAAGAAACACTGAGAGGCGAGCTCAACCTCAAGAGACTGAGTTTTCGGTATGTTTTCAGAGTACAGGAGAGCCTTGAAGCAATATTAGTGCAAGTTTGTAGGGGTTATAACATTTCTACTTATGCAATAGTTGATGTAAGGGATGCCAGAGAGCAGCTGCAGAACTACATGTAGACGTGGCAGTGACTTGATTTGAGTCTTGATTAAAATAACAATAACAAAAAAACAAAAAAACAAAAAACAGGATGGCATTGTGTTACATGAGTATTATACAGTGATTATGATGTTGATACCCTCATCTCCTCCTGAACACAGAGACCCCTACATATAAGACCTGTTGCATGGAAAATACATGGCTCGGAAAAACAACCTTCTTATTTCATCTTATCCAGGAACGAACGCACCTCCATGGGATCATAAGACCAAGGCCCAACTCCCCCCTAGAGAAACACAAAGAGAGGAATGTTAATGACACCGTAACTAAATCATGTTTTCATTTAGAATTAGAAAGAACATACCAACTTAAGAATCAGAGACATGTCTGTGTCATTTAATATGTGTAATTCTACATTTCTGGCATGGCTAACATGACCCTGGCATCGTGCCAAGAATCTAAGTGTTTTGTCTGTTTCTTTCACTGCTCCTCCTCACGCAATAGCGTGAGTGCAGATAGCGTTGGGACCTTTACACCCACAATGCTGGTATTACTTTCAATCATGCGATTGCATGGAAAGAGCAATGAGTGCGGCAGGAAAGAAATGTGGCCCTGGCAATCTTCATTCTTAATCACATAAAACAAACGTACAGGAATATATCTGTCTGCACAGATCTCACCTTGTAGACAACTTTCCCAGCCTGCAGCACGTAAAGCCTCTCTGGCAGAGCACCATACTTTATGGCAGAGACATCATTCATTTCATCCACAACCACCGGACACAAAGGCTCCTTTTGAAGCAAGATCTGTGCTGCAGACAGCCTGTCCTCCAGGCTCTGGTGCTGGTTGATGTCAATGTTGTTGGTAAAGGCCCAACCATCTGACACGGAGATAAAGAATGCGATTTCACTTAAAGGACCCTGAATGCAGCAGAGCATCAAAGTTATGGAACACATAATAAATGCAGATTTATGGATGTTGCATAAGTGTGTTACAGCATCAAACATTAAAGTTTTATTGAGGTGAATGTAGCCCAGACTTTGGTAGTGTTGCTGCCCGAGCTCTAAGCACAGATCTACATCAAGACTTTTCCACAGTGAACTTTTTGGGGTTCATTTAAAGACTCCACAACAGACTCTTTAGGTAAAATATAAATCATGACCTAAACCAAGATAAGACTTTTATTTTATTAACTCATCATTGTACGAAGTGATGTCATCATGCACAAATTGCTTTTAAAAATCCTCCACTGTAGAGATATTTATCATTGTGATGTAAAGTGAAGGCCATTAATAAATATTGATTAGTGCTTCTTAGTGATTATTGACAAGTGCTTCTGAGGCACACATCCATCATAAAAACAGATTTATTTTGTCCAATTTGCACTTTTAAGTCTATCAGGAGAGTGCTCATAAATCAAAGTTTGATTGCTTTCTTGATTGACCTTCTCCCTGTAAGTCCTGCATGCATAGTTTCTCCTCCAGCAATAAATTTCACGCTGATAATATCATCACCTGACACTGGGCTGACTTCCACTCACCTGTTGAATGCGCCTCGGCGATGTAGACCACAAGAAAGTCAGCTACATCGCTTAAGTCCTTGACGAGTTGCTTGAACTCCTCAAGTTTGTACATAAACGGGGGTCAGGTGCAACTTCCAAAACTCAACACTAGCGGTCTGTTGTCTGCAGAGAAAACACAGTTATTAAAATTTTAGTGCAAAATAAGAGAGCTGTACAACCGGAACAAAACCCCAAAGGTTGGACTTCATGACTCACCTTTCAAGTACTTGCCGATACTTGTTTTCTTTCCCTCCATGGTGACCACAGGTGTATCCGGAGCGTCTCCCCCTTCAAACGCCGCTTGTCCGAGAGACATCCACATGTGGTAAGATGCCACTTTTATGAAATTCATAGATCCGAATGTCAGACCCCAGTCTTCATACTTAAAGTTGGGATTCTGAGTCATGGTGCTCTTTTCACCCATTTTGAGCACTAGCTTCTTGGTGAGACTTGGAGAAATAAAATGCAAAATTGAGACAATGAGAGTGACTCCTATCATGTAGCAAAACATGCATGCTGTCGACAAATAGACCATCAATCTGTGCAAGGACATGCTTGCTCCTTGGTAGTGGACTCCCGTTCTTACAGCGCCTGCTGCCATCTGATTGTTAAAACATGTCGGTTACCGCCCACTCCCTCACGTTTGATAACAGCTGCCTTCAAGGACCATCTGAAAGCTCGTACGTTCTAGTTCACACGGAGCAAATGCTGGCTCGATGGAGCACTGTTGATCCGTGAATTAGTGTTAACGTTTCCATGTTAAAAGCGCTCCCAGTGTTGTTGAAAACGATGGTACTTGAGTGTCTTTCTTTAGGACACTTTGTGAGAAGAAGTAGGAGTGGCCATGTCTAATAATAAAGGGACATGGAGGGTCAGTGGCAAAAAATGGCGGTTGAGACAGACTTAGCTAGCTGTTGGGAAAAGTTTCCTTTCTTGGTTAGGTTTAGGAAAATGATCGTGGTTTGGCTAAAATAAAAAGATTTATACCAGAAGGCCCTGAAGGCAACTTCTCCCGTGTGCACATTGCAATTTCCGGTATGTTTTCAAGGGAAAAGCCATGACGTCATTTTCGGGATCTCGCAGGTGTTTAATTGAATTTTAATGCCCCAAACAATTAAATGTTTGCGTGGGCGATACCAACATTTTAATCCAATCCTGTATTTCTAATTTAAAGATTTGGAATCGACAACATTAAAACAGAAATCGAGATAATTAAACATTAGCAGGAGTCTCTCTTCGAGGCTATAAGGTTTATACAAAAAGGGGACAAAGAGACTACAAAACAAACTCCTAACGAGTATCTAGGCTAGTTTAGCTATGAGACTTCACCCGCCATAATTTACACCGAAGCCAGCAAAGTGTGAGGGCGTCAGCATTAGCATATGCCGCTAGCTATCGAACCGTTGTTGCTAGCTAACGTTAGCTAACATGTTAGCTTAACAGTTGCGTAGCTACTTAATGTAAAAACACGTTTAGGAGACACTGGTCGGCACGGGCCTCCGACCCCAGTCCTCTTTTTCGCCACATGCTGAATATAAGTGTATTTTGAAATCCATATTTTGGTCTCTTACACTACCTGACTCTTTGGCTAGCCTTTAGCTAGCTAAAGTTACTTGAAATGTTTAACCACTCTCTTAACATTTAGCTCTCTGGCATGCTACTTTGCTGCTACTCTGTAATGCACGGCTCATATAATGAAACAAAAATCTAGAAGTGTGTCCCATGACTGTCAATAACTATAGTCATTTTAATGTATAGATATCAAAACATTTTCTCATTTAGGTTCTGGCACACCTGCTGCACCATGATGGTGATGGATGGATGGATCTTCTGTGCTGGCTGGATTTGATTCTTAGGTAATAAAAATTTACCACAAGGCCATCTATGAATCTATAAAACACACTCAGCTCCCAACATTTGGTCTGCATGTTCAGAAATGAAGAGAAGTTGTTAATGTGGCACACTTTTTTTTCCAATGGTTATCTACAAGGCCAGTTAATCTGTAATGGTCACAGACAGGGTGTAAAATTAGCAGGAGCCATCAGCCAAATGCTGGTACACTAAAAAAGTGGCTGGTAGATTTCAGAACCAAAATAATGATTTACTATTGAGTGGCTGGTGAATTGAACATGAATTTGAACATTTATCCATCAGTGGCTCTTCTTGTATCCCTCTCTCCTTGATTCTCCTCTTTTCTTGCTAGCGGGTAACTGCCCCAGGAGCTATTCGTTCATATTATTGTCATAATGTGTATTCAAATTTGACTGGCGTTTATGCTTTCTAATGCACAGAGAGAAATTAGAAGGATCAGAACAGGTCCAAGACTCATTTTTGTCCAGGGCCCCCAATCTGACCAGTGTCCTTAAATTTAGTTACATCCTACTAGATAGATGACAAGCAGTTGAGAAACATGTCCCAACAATTCAAGTAACATGCAGGACTTTTAAAATAAGTAAATACATCAGTCACAAGCTATTTAATGAAGTGAAACTTAAAGATGTGGACTCCATTCATTTCTTTAACTATTTGTCTCTATGTGAAAAGTTGACAAAATATGCAAAAGTACTCTAACAGAATCCTAATGGTGTGTGTATAGGCCTATAATAGTAATAATAATGATGATGATAATGATAATAACAATAATAGTAATGCATTTTATTTATGGGCACCTTTCAGTTTTCTCAAGGACAGCTTACAAGACACAGTTTAAAAAAAAACAAGCAGCAGTGTATATGTATCCATAGATCATTTCAGTTCAGACAATTCAGTTATATACAGTAAGTTAATAAATAACTAGACAAAAATCATGATTCTAAATATTAGGTTTAAAATCCTCATCATAGTCATCATCAGTGCAGGTCACTATATGTGTGTCACCATTAAATCAGACGGAATATGCAAAAGTTTATATACTTAACTAAACTACAGCCCTGTATGTGGCAGTCACCATGCTATATCTTTAGATTTTCCAAACAAATACATTAACAGTTTAACAATAGCCTACTTCCTGGATTCCATGCAGACTTGAGCTGTCTTTATTTATCAGTTCACCCTTGCTTGTTCTTGATCTGTGGCTGATTTACACCCAGATTAACCAACCACATGTTAAAATACAACATCCAAAAGTTGTAGGGCCTAGTTAATATCAGATTTTATGAGTCCCAAGTTCATGTTTAACCAGACTCAGATTTTGCATTTTGTTTTAGAAAACAGTTTGCCAGACTGAAAATCAGTAAAAAGAATAAGATATGTTGCATGTAGTTTTCAAACTTCTTTGCTGGTAAATGCTGGCTAAAAGCAAACCAGAGCTGTATCCACGAATTGCGCTCAGTCTTCCAAGGGGTATTAGTGTAAGTGTATCTGTGTATTGTGGTATGTGTATTTTAGTATATGTATTGTGGTATGTATACAGTAGTATGTCTTTTGTAGTAGATGTATTGTCAATATATGTATTGCGGTGTGTGTATTGTAGTATGTGAATTTTGGTGTATGTATTGTTCCTTCCATGTTTGTAGTGTATGATGTTTAAAACTGTACATTTTAACAACATTGTATGCCTACATGTAAAAGCCCAACTAGGGACAAGAGCTTAAAATTGGCAATGGCTATAAACTCTGTGCAACACACCAGTCACAAATAAATTAAAAAAACTGAAACAGCATGAAAAGTTACAGCAAAGGAGCAGGTACTGGCATAAAACGCCAAAACTAACACATAATATCCACTGCCTAAACCATTAACAGACATAACTGTCCACGCTCATCCACAGGTATTCATATTTCCAACAGCACTTAAAGGCAGCATCAGAGCTTTTATTCCCCACCATGGATGTATTCATGTTCCTGTCCTGCATTTCCGCGTTTTTACAGCCCATACCTCCCATTTTACTGGCAGAACACACCCCGCCACATCTGTTACACAACTTTAATAATCTTCCACTCGCCAGTTTGTCCTGTCCGCCTTGTTTGTGCATAATAACAACAATTTATGTTGTTAGTGACTGTGTCAACTCTGACCTGCGTTAGGATTTTACCTTCCATGTAAAGACCACTCGGTGGCGCTGCTGATTAGCAGTTACCACAGAAATCCTGCTGGAGATGAACACCAGCTCTCTCAAACCTGGGTTTAACATAGGATATAACAATTTAACGCGTGATTATGAAGGTTGGTAAGACTTGGAAGATAATATTTTTTGCAAGTCTAATTTAGAATAAAATAATCCATAGATATCCATCATTTTTAATCAGTGCATTTAGTCAGATAGTGTAGCATGATCCAGATAGAATAACTCAAAAATAGCTCAAGTTATCGTGCATGTTGAAATAATATGGGCAGCTCAGACATACACTGAATGCTGGACACCTCATCGTAAGACTTCTAAACTTGATTCCTTTCACACTTTAATTCACATTTTTGAGGAGCAATTTTTGGAAACACCTCAAATCATTAACCTAAATTATGTCAGGATTTTCTGCTGTGTCAGAACTCACATCTGGAAACTAAATAAAATAGATATAATAATAGAATAATGCAGTTTAAATGTGTCCTGAGTGTACAGGCTACATTTTCTATAAAAATCGCTATAGCCTGTAATTTTATAGAAAGTCTAAAAAGCATTGTGGTGTGCTTTATATTGGCATACAGCTAAGCATTTTAGCGATATATCACTTAATGTCACTGTGGTTTTATTCAGTGTTTCGATCATACATGTGTCGAAACAAAAAAGCAATGTCTGATCTGATCAGTGTGATAACGCACGTACTGCACCAAAGCTTGGAGAACACCGTTGCCGAATGACGTCTTTTGTATTTCTTGCATCCACTTCTGAAGGTTGGGTATAGGCTATATGCCAAGTAGTCTGTTATCATAGCAAATGCGCATGCAGTAGCCTACGTTGCAAACTTCACATCTAAGTGCAGAACTACAAACAGATCCAAATCTTATCCTCCCACAGAAACACGGACGCAGTCTTCATTGGTGCTCCCCAGTCTTGCAGAGCAGTGGAGCTATCGGGTGCCAATCAGAGACAGAGAGGGAGAGAGAGAGACGCAGCGGATGCTGATGACGGATCCTCACTGAGAGGATGCTATCGATCGGGCTCGCTGATGCTCTCCCCTCCAGTTTGATAAACATGCTGATGTGCGCAATTACACCTTTCCTGCTCCTCACTGGCTTATTGACGAAGGTAGGTGTTACCAGACTTGTGTTGATTGCTTTTGGTCAGATGAATGTTAGCACGGGGAAAACAGCCCATCTTCGCGCTGATGCCGTTTGCAGTGATTTAGTTACTTTCCCTTTGCGCAGGTAATGTGAGCAGCGGCCGCACAACGCATGGGAAACCCGAGTCATCAATGCAGAACCCCTCAGCGCTATTCGGGATGGTCAGCCACTGTCAGACCCCAACTTTCACAGACTTCACCGGCTTGTCGCTGTCCGTGTACGGAGCCAAGACAGCGGACATCTGTGCGCGCAGAGCCGGGAGCGGTGGTTTCGGATCGCAGATTTGCCGGAGCTCCCATGACACCCCGACTCACATGAGCTGCGCCAGCCCAAAGAGACTCAGCGTGTCCGAAGAAAAAGCGCATCTGTCAGCCAAAGCTCCGCGCTCGTGCCTCTCGCTCCCACCAGCGCAAGGTAAGCCCCCCTAGGTCCAAATCAGAGCAGCACCCACAACTCTTTAATTGATGCGTTTGGAGGTTATAAACGTGATTTCTGAACGAGGTGGATAAATTTGAGTGGCATTTAATGTAATAATGATCATTGCTCTCTTTAAAACAAACAATAAGGTTAAAAATAACAAACTCAGTCAAACAGCAGCCCTGTCAGTCTTGCCATTTTCACCAATTAGCAGTTTCGAGGTTATTTGAGATAAAAGTTTTCCAAAATAATGTTGCTTCCATATGTCTCCTCCGGAGCATCCTTTGAAGCAGCTGTACTGTGTATTTGTGTTGAGAGCCCTGTTTGCAGTTGTGGATTAGGCTTGTTAATTAACCCCAGAGCTCACTTGGATCCTCAGCCAATTCATAAATAACACCAGAATCAAAGTCTGTTTTGCACACGAAGGCCATGTGAAGTGATGTACAGTATGTGGAGCAACTGCCAAGCAAGTGCGCATTTCCTATGGATGTTAACAAGGCATGGCAGCGTTTAATTCATGAGAGGATTAGTGTGATGTTGGCTCATTTAGTTAAATATGGCAAACATGGCAACTCGAAATTTTGACAGTTTAAAACAATATTTTTTAGGAATAATGAACACAGATATTTTTCCCCTCACATTTGTAACAGTATTAATCGTAAATATAATTAACTCTACCTCTACATGCTCAAATTACACCTCCTAAAAAAAAAAAAAAAAAAAAAGGAAAGTAGAATAAACTTTGACATGGGCTCATCAGTGAAAGCAAAAACTTTTAAAACAATTACATAGATGAAATGAGCACTGTCATACAGATAGCATCCAGAGTGGAAACTGGGCTTGGAATCTCCGTGGAAGCCTGCTCCATCCTGTTTAGACAGTGTTGTTGTGAGAGGGCGGAGGTAATTACAGCCCCATCCTAAATTATGATTAGACGGAACAGACTTTTATATTAGCAATCATCCTTGCAGCAAGAAGAGGATCAACGGATTTGATTATTGTTTCTTCTTGCTAAACACAAACCATATGTCTGCCGAATGTGTCTCAGCATTTATGAGTTCTCTTGGAGCACAGTTGTGCCCTCAGCCCTCCATCCCCAGCATCCCGAAACAGAATGAATCGTCTCATTGTCTTTGCGACGCTTTTGAACTCGCTTCCCGTAAATTGTGGGAATGCAAGATGTGTTATGCGTTTGTGGATTATGTTGAGCAGATTAACATTGAGGCAGACACATAGTATCTGTTTGTTTGGTTCTGACTCTGCGAGGCAGTTGAGTGATATTTTAATAGCTTCAGTATCTTGCGGGCTTATGAATTAAAATAGTTTTCAGCCTCATTTTGGAGTGCAAAACAAATAACCCAACATCATCTTCTTTATGCACATACTGATTCAACTACAAAGCAAAACATGTAACAGCAGTAATACATTTTCACATTATATTTTACGTTTAAAATTTCAGATATAAAAAGTTTATTCAGTTCATCTTGTACTTCTAGTGTTGCTCTCTCTCCCCTATATGATCATGCACTGTATTCCAGACATTTTGTGTTGTTTTATAGTCTCTTATGGTGAGCATGGAGTATGAAAGTGATCTCAGTACTCATCAGTCTTTTGTATCATGCCTCATTTGAGGCTGATCGTATTACATACTCCCATTTGGGGACAGAGCTGGAGTTTAAACTGCATTCTCAACCATTGCTTTAGATTTATACTGAAAGGAATCTTTGAACAAACACAGACTGTAATATTTATCCTGATGGAAGTGAGACACTGGAGGACGAACTTACCTCAGACTGGAGATTTCTGACCTCTAACTGTGCGTGCGGTGATTGCAAAATATGAACGATTACTCAGTGATAAAATGATGATAAAATATTATGCACTGCTGATGTTTCATCGAATCCTAATTGTGGGATTTTTTGGGGAGGGAAGCTGTACCACGATGTACTCTGAGGCATTCAGTGCTGCGCTGTTGATTTCCTAATTACTCCCAAAAAATGCAAGTCTTTGTTGTTTGTAAATTTTTTATGTCAATTTGTGTGCATCCATGTGTGTTTACGAGTGTATAATCAAGTGAGAGTGAGAAAGCTTGTGTGCTAATGAAAGAGTTATAAAACTGAAGTGCAGTTGTGTCGGTAGATTCTCGATACAGGCATTGGTTTTGATTTTTACGGACCAGGTGTCCTGAATGAAAAAATAACTCAACATTTAGTCACCCTCATTGTTTATATGCCGTTGCATTTTAAGAAATGTTCCCAGCATAAATCCAAGGACAATAATTCTATATTTTTCTTTAAGTTAAGTCAAGTGACCTATGTCACACCTGGTCCGAAGGTTTGGAAACCATGTGTATTGCTTTTTGTGAGTGGAACAGCGGCTGATCATCCTTACACTGCGAGTCCACTGTGCTATAAATATTAGTGCCCACCAGCAAAGAAAATATTTAGCTTGCAAAGAAAAACACTTGACCCCTCTTGAAAAAGAATATCAGGTTTGAATGGAGTGTGTACTCTAGCATCATTTGATACCTTACTAAAGTTTCTCCTGGCCGGGACGAAGCTGCCTCGGCTGTGAGCTTATTTGAGGAAAATGTTTGAGTTAGAGGAGTGTGCCGGAGTCCCACACTCCCTCTCTCAGATAAATGCAGAGGTCTGTCTGTTGATTCAGCCTGTAAAGAGATGAGTAATGGGATTTTGGATTTAATCATTGTTGGGACTTTTTTACATTGCTATGGCTGTTTCTTGCTGTCTTTTGCCAACACACATCATCCTGACATGTTTTCTATAAAACCGTACATAGAATATTTATACATGCACACCTGTATGCAGGCACACAACCCCACCAGCATCCTTTGCTAATACATACAGACACTGTGCCAGCATGTGCTGAACACACACACTAAGCACACATGCCACACATGTGTATACACACACACTTTTTTTGTGGTGAAATGGCATTGGCACCAATGTTGAATTTCCTTAAAATGACTTAGTTTCCTGTGTTTTCCCCAGCAGCATTTGTAGATGTCAGACTGCAGGGCGATAATCTGACTGTTATGAGAAACAACCGACCATTACAGCCCCGCTTTGAGCCTCTCCTGTGTCAAACGCTTAATGACAGCTTAGCAGTAGCTTGTGAATAATTTTGGTTGTGTGTGCACAGAGCAACACATTAAGTGCTTTTGGTGAAGTCATGAATTCTAATTAAACTATGTGGTTTATTTATTATTATTATTCTTTGTGGAAAGAGGAGTGGAGGATGGACATAAATTTTCTCTTCAGTTTCTCTGCTGGGCAGATTTCATCCTCACTTTAAAAGCAAAAATATCTCTTCATAGAAATTCTGATATAGAAGAATAATTGATAATACAAATGTTCCCAAAAATATTCACATTATTCATCATCAAAGTACTCAAATATATGGCACTTAGCCTAACCCACAAGGAAACTGGTGTTCACATTTGAAATATCTGTGTGTTCCAGTGTCTTCTTTGGGTAGTTGTCTAGAGTTGTCTAAAATAAATCTTCAGATTTGTGTCACATAAAATGTTTATACAGCTATAATTCTGGGAAAATGTTTGCTTCAGCTGTTTCAAGGGGTTTCGAATTTCCTAAATTACGGCGGACGTCAGGCTTGTAATTGCTTTGAGTTTGGCTTTGATGTGTGCACAGATCATATTATTTATTTGTATTGCTTCTCAGTATTTTCTTTTGGTTTTGATTTGTGAGCCAGTTGTCATTTGTTGTTGTTATACCCATTTTGCTGACTCAGGGGTATGACAGTAGTCTTTGTCAATGCTTCAAGAGTGTAAATGATGGTTTAATAGAAATAGTTCTTTGTTAACTTGTTCCTTAATGCTGAAAAGACCAAAGAGAATGAATGGATGGATCACAGGGGGGAAATGATTCAGCAGGTGACACAGCGCAAATATTTAGGTGTGAGTTTAAATTAGTCACCCCATGTTAAAATTTTACGATCTTAAATCAATCCTTAATTGAGTTTTCTTTTGTAGATTAAAGCTCTGTGGAGAGATTAAGAGCATAATGACGTTCTCCCACAGTGAAACTATTGAGTCAGTAATTCACTATGGTGTCACAGTCTGGTTTGACAATATAACTGTGAAATTAAAATTTCAAGTCCAGAATTTGATAAGACAACCAGGGAAAATCACGGGTCTTTTGACTCCAACATCTCTGCAAGAGATTTTTAAAGAAGAAACTGATAAGCAAACTCATTTGCCTGGTCCTAACAATGTCCTCCACAATGAATATGTGCTTCTGCCATTCAGTAGAAGGTATAGATGTTCTTTATGCATACATTATCTTTAGTGCAGCAGTGAAATGGGGGGTTAATATTAGGGCTGCATAATATTGGAAAAAACTGACATCGGGATTTTTTAATTTCTTTTTTTGCAATATATATTGCGATATTAAAAAATACAATAATTTTCACCAGATGACTTAAAGTAAGAAAATTAAAAAATAGTGGCCTTTACTCACCACAACTGCAGAGGCTACCAGCTTCATGTGAAATAGACTACATTATAAAAGGGCCGTTATTTATTAATCCCTCTGTATCTTTATATTTCTACTTTTTATCCGCTCCCGTTGTTTCATAAAGTTAATGCATTGTGTTGTCATTTCAAACTCAACACTTCCTGAATTTGTTTCAAATTAAAAGCCCCGTATAACCTCGGTTGAGAGAATCTATCCATTTACTATTGTGGCTTTTATTGTGAAACCTATGTAGGAACTTGTTGTGGAGGATTCAGTGGCTTGTATGTTTGTGTACAGTACTTCAAATGTAGGTCCTGCCGTCTGGTGGCGCTTTTTAGGTGACTACAACAATATTTCGCCTGGCACATGAACAGACACAGTGACTGAAATAATAGTAGAAGTAATAAAAACAGGACAAAACGACCGGGGATAATTGGTGTGGACCATCGTGTAGTGTGTCATGTCTGTTGGCCAAGTCAAGGCACGATTTTAGGACTCCAC